TGATCCTTTGCTACCGCGGTGTAGAGAATCGAAGAGAATACTCGGGGTGGGGAGGTATCCGCCTGGGAAGACGTAGCGGTCGATGTATTCGCCCATTCGGGGGTTGGTTTCGTGGAACTGCCACACATCAGATAATCCATTTTCTGTAACGGAATCAAAGGGGGGGGGGGGGGATAGCATACTGGTTGTATCTTCGTTATCCCATCAATCACCAACACACCATCCTCAGGCGGCAACAATTGCGAGATTACTTCAAAATACTGATCCATATACTCAGCGCCGACATGCTCGAACATCCCGATCGAGATAACTCGGTCATAGTATCCACTCTCAGGTCGGGGTGCGTTGCGATAATCGCACAGTAAAACGCGAATGCGGTCCTGCAGGCCTGCTTCGCGGATCCGTTCATCGGCAAGGATCTTCTGTTCCTCGGAAAGAGTTATTCCCGTCGCTTTGCAGCCAGTGAGTCGTGCTGCCTCGATGATCAGATCTCCCCATCCGCAGCCAATGTCCAGTAAGTGGTGAGTTGATTGAAGCCGCGCCTTTTTGATCATGTAGTGGACTTTTCTTCGCTGGGCTATTTGAAGGGTTTCTGCTGCATTGCTAGTGAAATGTGCGCAGGAGTAGTTCAAGTCCGGAGATAGAAAGTTCGTGAATAGTCCGTTCGAGGTATCGTAGTGGGAAACGATGTTGCTGCGCGCATTCTCAATGTTGTTTTTCGGTCGCCACCATTGGGCCAGGCGGACGATGAGGTGGAACGGTGAGCCTCCCGAGTCGAGCGTGGTGCGGTTTTGAATGTATAGCTGGTTGACTGATGCTTTAGTTTGACATGCTCTGCAGTGTTGTTGCTGTGAGTAAGAGACGCTTACGTCGAAGATCTTGGACAAGTTATCACATTCTATCTCCTGGAACATGTAGGATTCTGCAAACCCCTTCGAGGTATTAGTTGCTTATAGCCATTTTCGTTGAAAGGTCGCCGAATGCTTACCAGATCGAAATCTAACAACGCCCTTTTCCAAAAGTTCACATCTTTGACGCGGACAATTGCTTTCTCAGAATCGGCAATCGTCGGGTCATCATACAGAACTTCCTCCTCTTCACCAACATGGTCGGTCAATTTCACTGGGGCTGAAATTCGCCGCAGGGTGTCTTGTACCATGCGAAGAGCATAAGATTGGAACGACTGGGTGATAGCGGTTAGCACCATATTTACGGAGTAGCAGGGTTTCTAATAATGTGGAGTTTACCGTTCATTTAGCAGGGGGTGAGCACTACTCTTTAATACAGCAGACGAGTCCCTAACATATGGGCAACATAATGCGGACACGATTTCTGCATTAGTTTCCTGCTCTAGTCAAACTAGTTCTTCGTAATTCTGCAAGCCAAGGATCATTTATAGTCAGAGGCGGTGATTGAATAATAGAAGCCAATGACATGTACTGCGCCTAAAATCTCCGTGGATGATAGCGGCTAGCGCTGCAGAAGCATAAGCAGCTCGACGTAGATGAGGGAAGGGACTTGTTCGATTGCCAACACGGGCGAGTTACATTGCCGGCTGAACAATTCGGGATTAGCGTTTTCGGGTCCCATCGGGCCCAAGTGAGACGAGGATGTCTGCAACTTTTCTGTGTCCGCCCATGAGGAGAATGCATAGTAGCCAATAGTAGCCAATAGGGACAATGTGGAGTACCCGAGCGCCCTTAAGTATAGCCATTCTATGGTTTTTTAGATCTTGAGTGGCGTGGTGTCGCGGCGATCGCAAATACAGTTCCGCAAAGGCGAGCCTCACAAGACATAACAAGCGTTGGATGAAATGACCTGTTAGAATTATCTAGGTCGAATTGCAGATATTTTCTGTTGTATTTTAATTAACATGGTTGCAGCGATGTATAACTACGTTGATTTTCAATTGGTGTAGCCCATCCAGGAGTTAGGGTTCTCCCTATTTGTGGCCCCCAGGGCACATTCGCCATAAGAGTTGGTCTTGAAGAGCTAGACAGCGTAGCAAATACATCCTGATGAGAAATCATAGGGTTCTACTTGAAGTACAAATGCATACCGTTTGTCGTGAGGTGAGTCGGCAGGTAAGCTGGCCTAAATGGGCTTAATTTCTCTGCAGAAAAAGGCAGGCGAGCAATTATCGATGAAATACGTGGACCTGAGATGCATGCTGGTAATATATGTGGGAGTTGGAGTGTCCATTGGCTGAATCGCATCAAGCATGCAGCATGCAGGATCTCATCACTTTCACACTATTTCAGTGGGGAGGGGAAACGCTCGGACGCGTCACCGCTTATTTACCTGCATTAAGGCTACCCTCAACTTCCAGACCCTTCATTTTCATGATTCTGCGACGACCACAACCACAAACCGCAATGTCGGTCTTTGACGATTTTCCCTTCTACAACTCGCGGCCCATTGAGGCTAGCGAGTTGCCGGAAGGCTATTTCCATATCATCCCTAGTCGCGTATCATCTTCCCCAGTTGACAGCGACGTCATCGACCAGATAAGAGATGAATGGAGCCGAGCTTTAGGCAAGGAGTTAACTGTTCCCATTCTGGACAAGAAAACCCTCTCTAGTCCCTTATATGTATACCCGGAATGTCCGCCAACCGAACGGGGTGCCGTGTTCGAATTCGCTACCATTGTCGCGCTGTGGAGCGGTAAGCACACTTCATGTGCCCTGGTACCTGAGAAGTGAGTGAGTTAACGTGAAGGGGAGAATACAGACGAACTAGACAGATTTGACGCTGCAGAGGTGTGTTGTGTCTGTCTCCAATCTCTAGTCTACGTCAATCCAGATCTATGCCATTGTGTTTATTGACCTACGTCAGCACAAAGTAATTGTTCATGACCTTGCCAGCCAGATTCTGGCTAGATCCTACGGAGTAACCTCGTTTGAAAGCGGGTACGAAATCAACAATCTGTATTATGATGCACTTACAGAGATACTTTGGCAGCCTGGGCGTCATGAACATGAGCAGAAAATCCTTCTGAAAGATTTTTCGGCAATGCTGGAATCTCCGACGAAGCCCTCTCTAGACAAAATGACATTTGATGCGTACAAAGAGCAGAGGAGTCAACATAGTGCTGGAAAGTATGTACTCGATAACTACGTGGGAAAGTGGCATAGCGCTGACATGGTAAAGGTTCGCTAGTTTAGTCATTCCTATCTTTCACGGCTTACCTATCAGTGAGAGTGAACATGTCTCAGTGGCGTCACTCATTAAGCTTGGTAGCTTGATTACCGGGCTAGCCAGCGATTATGAGAGTTTTCATGTAGACTTCGAGAAGCATGCCACAAGTGGCCGCCTTGATGTCATATCCAATGCAATGGCTGTCCTGATGGCCAACTATGGCTACACAGAAGAAGAAGCGAGCGACATCCTGAAGAGTGTGATACTATTACTTGAGCGACAGTTTCTTATTGAATACGACGATTGGAAACTCTCTCGGAGCTACAAGTCACGTGACCTACGAGCCTACATGGCCCTCTGGGTCACAAGTGTTGGAGGGGCGTGTTATGCACAGGCCATCTCACCAAGATATCATGGACTCAAGCTAAAAACAACCGCAGAGGATAGAGCACAGCTTACAGGTCGCAATGAGATACGCTACAAACTCCATGGCTATCCTCCACCAGCTTTAAGCCAGAAACCTTCCAATACACCCATGAAGGATGTTCCAATTCTCTCAGCGGGAGACCAACGGGACCTTCTAGCACCCTTTAAGAAGGCACCAGCAGAGCAGGTAAGAACGTCTTTGGGTCTATCTCTGACAAAATACTGACAGCAGTAGCTATGCATGGCTCCGTACGAATACACGAGATCAACGCCCGGAAAGAAGATGATGTCAAAGTTCATCGAATGTCTACGGACTTGGCTCGAGCTGCCAGATACTTCAGCTACTATCATAGAACACGTCACAGATATGATCTTCCAATCCACTCTCATGTTTGTACTCCCCTCAATAACAGTCCATTGCATAAGCTCAGACCGATCAGGATCGATGACATCGAGGATGACTCAATGCTCCGTCGCGGGAAACCAGCTGCGCATCTCGTATTTGGCAAGTCCCAGACTATCAACAGCGCAACCTACCTATTCGCGAAAGCGAGTCGTGATCTGGACCAGCTGCAACAGGAAGCATGCAAAGCTGCATTTCTCGGTCCGTAGCCACCAGAACCCAACCCTCTTCTAACCCGTTTCTAACCCCTGCAGATGAACTGGAGACGCTAGCCCTCGGGCAAGCTCTCGATCTTCACTGGAAATTTCAGAAGAAATGCCCAACAACCAGCGAATACCTTAATATGGTCGACAACAAAACGGGCGGGCTCTTCCGAATGGCATTACGGGTTATGGAGATTGAATCGAAGACGGAGCCGTGCCCTGATCTTATGCATCTCATAACACTGATGGGGAGATACTACCAAATTCGAGATGACTATATGAATTTGACGTCAGATGAGGTATGTGCCTGGAATAGATTGGGATTTAAGAGAGTATTGACATGGAATAGTATACGGAAACCAAAGGCTACTGCGAAGACCTCTCGGAGGGCAAACTCTCCTTCCCGCTTATTCATGCCTTGCAAAACAGCCCTGCGGCGGATATGGTGAAAGGGTTATTGTTCCACCGAGAGAATGGCCAGGAGCTGTCGTCAGAAATGAAGAGCTATATTATCGATGAGATGAGAAAGGCTGGTAGTCTCGCATATGCGCGAGATACTGCCATGCAGCTGTTTGATGCAATGATGGAAACGCTGGAGAGAGTTGAGGCTAACCTTGGTCCGAATGAAGGGTTGAAGGCTTTATTGCGTTTGTTGAAGCTGTGATTGATGGTGGAGACCTTTTAGGTGTTGTAGAAGATAATCTAGCTCGAATCCGAGCATTCAATTCTTTTGTCTCCTCATGCATGATATGTAATGTATTATTGTCTCATAAAGCCAAGATATGTTGTGCCAACTTGCCAGTTGATAGATATCTATTACAGTATTGCCATCACAGACGCCCACTCAAACCCTCACCCGCTGAAGGCAGCTTTCCAAGACGAAACGACAGGTATGACTGTCCTATGATATACCGGTCCTGATTCCAGACCTTATATTTTGACCAGTCGCGCCCGACGCCCAGAGTCATATATAACGGTAAAACATGTTCCTCAGTAGGGTGAGCGTCCAACCAATCCTCACGCTTTTGGAATGCTAGAAACTGCGCGTTTCTCTCTCTGGGGGTCGGGGCAGACAATGCCTTTAGAGCCGCATCTTCTATTGATCTAGCCACTGTTGTGTCGGCTGTTCCTTCGCGAGTAGCTCGAAGGTTGTGAACGATCATACCTGATCCAATGAGGAGAATGCGACCGGGTCTAGTAACTGAATTAGCTTTGTGTCCATATACTGGCTTTCCAGTCGATGTCGATGAACGAAGTACTGTGGAAAACATACAAGGACGAAAGTGCCTCGCCCAGCCGGACGTGTGCATTCAGATCGTTTCCTGCGTAGGTGGAAATCTGCAGGATGGGGATATCCAGTTCGTCCTCTCCTTCAGGGAACATGAGTTTGAAGGGTACCCATCTGGATATAGTTAGGGCACTTGTCTAAGTAGTTCGAGAGAATGTCTTGGCTCCCCAAAAGCGCCGTGAGGAACTCACATTCCGTGGTCAAGATCGCGTTCCACTCCCGCCGCTTTGATCCCTTGATCGAGAAGATGCTGCAATACCTTCTCTCCTAGGGCTCTAGACGACTTATGCTCGTATTGGTACTCGAAGACGTGTGGGAATGTCGTGTGCCAGGAAGGTCCCAAGTCATGCCACACCTTGGTGGGCGCTTTGAGGTTCACTGCGGCACAATGTTTTTAGATTTCTCCAGTGGATGAATCTTGCTTTCTAACCCATTTACCTTCGATAGCATCACTTTCGCCTTGAAAATGGCCACAAGTGACGACGATAGCTTCCGGTTTGAGAGCCTTGATTTCCTTGCCGATCTCGCGAAGATCTTGTTGAACGGGCCCGTAGCCGGGTTTGAAGAGGATGCTAACTCCGCCTGGTGGTAGTCAGAAAACTGCTTTTACGCTTTAGCAACTATAGGCTCTCGAACCGTGACCGATAAAGTATGTGGGGAGTTTCTCATCCGACATGGTGGACGTTGCTGTTGCTCCGATGTTTCCGACGGCGCGCATACCCACTCAGGAAGGTCAAGCAAAATGAGGGGATACAGAACCTAGCATAAAAGGCGGGGCTAAGGGTCGGTTTTATATGCCGTTAGCCCTATTTGCCAGTATCATGGAAACGCACGTTAGCGTCGAGCAAAGCAACGAGATTGGCTCGACTGGGGCAAGGAGTGGAGAGGTCTTAATGTTTTAGCCGCTAGCTGGATGGTGGGCGATGGCGATTGATAGGTGAGTATTGCATCATCAATATCGTTGTTCATAGAAAATCTATGCATGTGTATACTGATATGTAGAGTATACAGGTCTGATGATGGGTGTTATACAGAGCCAAGAGTGGCTTTCCAAAAGCCTCGACTGAGGTGGAGAAATCTTAGGTACTCGTACGCGCGGCCGCTTGCTTGAAGAACCTTGTTGGTATGGATGACAGCTAACGCAAACAAATATAATATCTGCATGATGCAAGAGCAATATATAGGCGAGCATAATGATAGGTTCGTACCCCTGGGAACTGTAGATCATGGGAAAATGCTCGTGACGAATTGCACCTATCACAGCTGGGCTTCGTGCACGTCGGGGTAAACCTACCCCGGGAACTGAGGGGTTGCATGTCGGGGTCCAGCCCTGCAGACTTGTATATATACCTGCTTGCTATTCAGTTACATTTGTGGTTTATACAAGGTCAATTCTTGAGACAGCTTCTTCACTGAGAAAATCAGACATGGCGCTTATAGTATTGAGATTTCTCCTTCTTGCCTCTCTCATTATCCCATCCATTGCCCTATCAGACCAAGCGAAGAATGGCAATGCAAGAACCCAATGTGAAGTCAAACCAGGTGGTTCCTCAGAAATAGATGATGTTCCTGCTATCCTCGATGCACTGACAACGTGTGGTTCCGGTGGCCGAGTGACATTCACCAATCACACCTACTATATCAATTCTGTCATGAACACAACATGGCTAGATGATGTTGAGATTGACCTGCAAGGTACACTCTTGGTAAGTAAAGAGCTTATATAACCCCGACCTCTTCCATCCTGCTGACACTGGACAGTGGAGCACTAACATATCCTACTGGCTGAACCACTCCCTCCCTGTCGGTTACCAGAATCAATCCACTGCCTGGATCCTGGGCGGGAAAGACATTGTCTTTGAAGGACATGGATATGGAACCTTCAATGGAAGCGGACAGACCTGGTATAAATACGTTGGATCGACATCGAATTACCCACGGCGACCGAACCAGTTGACGGTTTCGGGAGCAACGGGAGCAGTGTTCAAGGGATTGCGATTCGTGCAGAGTCAGATGTGGTACGTACCAACCGATTATATTGTGAGCCCTTGTTATATCAGACTATCAAGCTGAAAAAGGAAACCAGGACAATGTCTATCATCTACACCTCGGACTCAGTGTTCGACTCCATCTACGTGAACAATTTGTACGATGACGGTGACTCAGCGCGTAAGTACCATACCTTATATTGAACAGGGATACAATCCACTTCTCTAACCTAATCTGAATAGAAAACACGGATGGCGCAAACACCATCTATAGCAACAACATCACATTCACCAACTGGGAAGTTGTCAACGGCGATGATAGTATCAGCACGAAAGCCAACTCCACGGACATCACGATCGCCAACTCGACATTTACCAGCGGTCTCGGGATTGCAATTGGGAGCATCGGTCAATACAACGGTGCTTTTGAGACCGTCAAGGGCCTCAGAATCTCGAACATCACATACGACAAGACAACTCATGCCGTGTACTTCAAGACTTGGACGGGAGATCAGGTCGGATATCCGCCTAACGGAGGAGGCGGGGGGTTAGGATGTATGTTTCACCTGTCGATATCTAGGCCCTGTGATGATTCAAGCCCTAACATTCGAACAGATGCCTCCGACATCGTCGCAACTAACTTGAAAACCAACAATCTCAAAGGTGCTCCGTTTACAATCTCCCAGTGCACAACGTTCTCCGGTGCCTCAGGGAACTGCACCAACTCCAAATTTCAGATCCGCAACCTTGTCTTCACCGATATTTCGGGTACGGTCGATTCGGCGGAGGTTGCAAGTTTCCAGTGTAGTGCTGTTGCGCCGTGCGAAGATATCACTATTGAGAATGTGAGTTTGCGGATCGCGGGAAATACGACTCTTGCAGATGAGTATTTGTGTGGAAATGTGGAGGGAGCCGTTGGGTGGAATTGCACTGGGGAGGTGTGTGTTGGGTCGAGTGCTACTGGAGGATGTTAATCCAGTAGATGGGTTCTTGACGGTTCATGGTATTATAGTCGTATGGCACAATGCTAATGGAACTACTTGGGATATATCACAGCGTATAGCTGTAGGGAAGATATATCCGAAAGCATGGACCAAGGTCTTTCCAAAATCTGAGTTGATATATCTGACGTAGCGAGAAATAAGAAAATAATTAACTGTCATTTACCAATTTGACACATACATCTAGTTAAAAACAAAAGCATCTCATTCAATGCACTATAAACGCTCAGCTTCGCCCGTAACAGCCCTTTTAGTCAAAATGGCCGAGTGTTCATTCAATTGTTCCCAAGCGTGGGCATCGTGGCAGGCCTGTCGACTGAGCCGGACGGCGCGTCTAGTGCGCGACCGCATCTCTGCCTCATACTCATCCAACGCATCCTTGGCCCCCTTCTCGCCCGCATACACCTTCTTCAATGCCTGAAAGAGATTAAAGGCGTCTAACAGCCCATGATTCGCAGCTTCTCCCCGATCTGCTCGAGTCAGAACAACATACATCCGAAAGTCGCAACAGAAAACTTACACATCGTCATAGCGTGGGCTGCATCCCCAGCCAGGGTGACTCGACCATCACAGTTATCCCAATCCAAACATTCCCAATCTGCCAGTTTAATCTCCACTACCGGGGTTCCTTTCGGGATGCCTTCCACAACAGATCGCAGAAACGGCACGAAACCAACTGAGCGTCGCTTCATATTCTCCAATCGCTCAGTATCGGTGGCAGCCACTTCGTCTACCTCACTTTTCACCGGCCATGACATACATATCTGGGCCCGATAATGCTCGTCGGGTGTTCCCCGCGTGCCATTTCTGTCTGGAGTCTCGAGCATCGAGAACCAGAAAAACACGCCCGTGCTGGGATGACAACCCTGGAATAGCAAGGGATCCATTGATCGCAGCGGCTTGATTTCTTGCGGGGACAAATCCACTGCTACCCCTGTGAATCTGATGGGAAGTACAGAGTTGCTGTATGCATCGGGCCGCAGGACTCGTCTCACCAACGATCGACTTCCTTCGACGCCGATAACGAATCTTCCTGACACGCGGGTGCCATCTGCCAGGACCAGACACGGAGCAGCAGTAGAGTCACTTTTCACATCCACATCAACCACTTGAGAATTCCAACTAACATGGTCTTCGATTCCCCGAAGCAAGGCTTGGCGCATCTTCTCCCGATTGACCCGCCAGCGGGTGCTAGGGGGGATCTTGAACTTGGGCTCGCCGGTCGCGAGGTCAATGAAAAGGAAATTCCCATTGTCGTTCTTGGCCACTTGTGGGTCCACCTGTACCTCCTGGATAGCTTGTAATGTCTCCTCGGGCAACATCTGTTGAATGTACTCTAGGGCCCAATGCAATGTAATGGCCCAGCCTTGACCGCGGGCATCCGGCGACGCATCACGCTCGTAAATGCGGAAGGGGATGTTGGCCTAGACGCGGCTATTTAGCATTCATATATTACTGCTGGTATCATGAACAGCTTATACTGAGTATATTCAGTACCTTTTGAAGAGCTTGACCGAGCGTCAGTCCGACAATGCCGGCACCTACAATGAGAACGGGTTCCATGGTGATGATTCCGGGATATAGTTGAAGATCTATCTGACCGGCATTTCCTCGCTTGAAAATAATTTCCGCATAATTTAGTCTATCTGGCCTGTAATATATCCTCCTGCTCCAGTGGCTTATCCGTCGGTTGATCGGATAGTACGTACCAGTGGCTGATGCTAGCGTTGTCGGACCGTCGCATAGATAAGCTGCAACTGCGGGGATGGCTGCAGATGCATATCAATAGCCGAGGAGGCGACATGCGACGGGCGTCGCCTATCTTTTAGTATATAAATAAGATAAGCCTCGCGAAAACCAATCGAACCCACTACCGACAAGAGCACAAGGACACACCAATTATCATATACCGCCATGTCGCACGAAGCCCTCAACCCTATTCACCCGTCCGTGCTTCCGCATCTCGACCCTACCTTCATCGAACTCTACAATAAGCATGTAGCCAACACCCCCAGCGGGCCAATTGATCTCGCCGTCCTTCGATCCAAATATTCCGTTCTCTACTCCTACGGCACTGGTCCTGCGCCGGAGCCCGCTCGTGTATACGATGCCACTATCCCAGGCCACAATGGGGATTTAATCCCCTGCCGAGTCTACGAGCCCGATAGCCCCGGACCGTGGCCAGTCCACATTGACTTTCACGGTGGTGGTCCGTCCCCCCTCCTCCCCGTCCACATCTTTCGTAAATCAAAGCTAACCAAAAACTGCTATGTAGGCTGGGGCCTCGGCGACCTAGACACCGAATCACACATCTGCAAGCACATCGCCGTGAAGGCCAAAGTCGCCGTGATCGACATCGCCTACCGTCTCGTACCCGAGCACGCCTTCCCCATCGGCATCCAAGATTCATTCGCAGCACTCCAACACCTATCCTCTCCCGCAGGCCGCACACAATTCCCAAACCTCGACACCACGCGCATTTCCCTCGGCGGAGTCTCCGCAGGCGGCAACATCGCCCTCATCCTCGCACACCTAGCCCGCGATCACCAAATCCCGCTCCGTCTAGTAGCGGTAGGGACACCCGTGATTGACGACATCTCCCGGTATACCACAGCGCATGACTCGCCCTTTCCCTCAATGCAGGAGATGGAGCACGCGCCGACTCTGAACTGGGCGCGGTTGAAATGGTTTGATCAGCTGAAGTGGCGCAGTCTCAACAGCGAGGACGAAGATATACGTGACAAGCAATTGGCTGAGGTGAAGTGGTATGCTAATGCGCTGGAGGCGCCGGATTTTACTGGCTTGCCGCGCACGGTTATCTATACGGCGGGGTGTGATCCGCTGCGTGATGAGGGTGAGGCGTATGCAAGGAGGTTGGTTGAGGGTGGGTGTGAGGTTACCGTGAGACGGTTTGAGGGCGTTCCTCATCCGTTTATGCATATGGATAAAGGTGAGTTTTGTTCTCCATTGCTTTTTGATTTCCTTGTTCAGGGTGTGTGTGCTGATGAGAGGTACTAGATTTATGGCAGGCACGGCAGTTTATAGACTTGATTGCGGGTCATATCAAGGGAGCGTTGCATGATTAGATAGATAGCCTCGCAGTGTGCATAATTCCTGTCCTTTGCTCTATAATTGACTGTAGACCTTCAAGAAGCATCCGTTTATATATCGGCTTCCCAAACATCTTTGCCACCAAGCAAAAACAATGGGCCAGTAGTAGCATTTAAAGCAGAACTCATTGGAAGGCCCTGCAGGCTACTCAGTTGATGACTTCCCTCCGGTTGATCTTCTCTCCTCCCGAACGCAGATGCTTCTCGACCACTTATTTATAACATGATTTCGGTGAATAACTAAGATATTGATGCTGAATATTGACTTTATGACTCCATGATTTTTACGATATATGTATTTTTAAGCAGACATGCAATTCAGTTTGGACCCTACTTAGGCAACCATGATACTCCATACTCCAACTCCATACATAGTATAAAGTATGTGGACATTAATCCCATCGATCCATCTCAGCTAATTCTCCCCACTGAGCCTCAAGCTCTCGGATCATCCAGTTCGTTCGCCACCCAACCGCCTTTTCTACCCGGCGGAGGAATTGCAGGGACCCTTGTTTCTCAGAGGGGTGGCGGAGGCAGTAGCCATCTAACTCTTATTAGCAACCGTCATGTGGGAATGGCATTTGTAGACTCACATCGATGTAACAAGTGGCACGCCATGAAGTATGCATTCTCCACAGTCTCGTTTGACATGGAAAGTCCTATCGTCCGGACCAGATGGGATGCTATGGTCCTCTGTAGCCAGTTAGAATTAACACATTGTCCCCTCTGACTGATCATACCTCTTCTGTTCGTCGCAGCCGCGCCAGCTCGTAATCGCTTGATACATTCCAGTGCCGGTGGGACGAGGTAAGAAGGATACACGATGCATGGTAGTATTGTAGACCGACAACTATATGGTCAGCGACGGCTACACGTCAGGTGCTAATACATACCTGCTGATGGAGACATCATCCATAACTCAGGGAACGGTCGATTCTCCGCTGGATCAGAATCCTTGTATTGCAACGGCTGCCAGCTGATTGGCCGCCCACGATGCCACTGCTCCACGCTTTCAGATAGATGCTGCCACTCGCCCTCATCGACAAAGCTGCAGTGTGATCCCCAGCAGGACTGGATAATCTTCGCACACAAAAAGATAATTACGTTGGCATATGAAGCGTCATCGCGGCGCTGGAACACGGACGAGAGCTCGTAGTTGGCTAGATCTAGTTGCATCGGTTGATGTTGCACCAGGGAGGCATAGATTGCCTGGCGAAGGAATTGCCAACTGACTGCTTCGGCGAGACCGCCAGAAGAAGCGGACTTGGACATAGTATTTAGGAGCCTGTTTGACCCAACCCAGTGACACTTTTCATCTGTTGCACGCTCGAGCTCTTCATATATGCGCAAGGTGACCACAGTAATGAGCAGGTTATCATCATATGTCTCTTCTGGCAACGCTAGAGCAGATATGAGAAGCTCTAGACACTGTCCGTGATATTCGGAGGCTTCCCAGTCGCTGGCGTTGGACATGATCGCATCGTGTCGGGCTGCGAGGCACAGCACAGCTTTCAACACCATCGGGACTTGCAAGGCTCGACGAGGGACTTCGGTACTGAAATGGGAGCGAAGATCACATATGTCGGCCTAATAACAGTATTAGGCTGATAGATTCGTCTTATACGAAGAGACTTACCCATGGTGCAATCTTTTGGATGAACAGTCGTAGTAGATGGGCTTCACGGGAGCTCAACGGCGGTGAGCCGCTCGGACGGGGACTCACCGAGCTTAGCGGTGACGCCGAGCTCGTCCATGTACTCCCAGAGGCCAAAGGCGAGACAATATTTAATAGAGAAGGAGATAAGCCTGCAGAGGATGCAACGATTGGGGGATCGTTGAAGACAGGAGACCCCACAGGGGGGCTTGAGTCCACATGTGGATGGCGGATATTCTCATCATGAGAATAAAGAACTTCAGGAAAGGGCAAATGATTGAAAATGGATATTTGGTCGGAGATATCTCTTTGACCCTCATCAGAAGCACCCTGATGATTGTCGTTATCGTGGGCATCAGGTTGAGCATCGGTGGTGTTGCCCTCGTCCGACTCATCGGACGATTCCTGCACAAACTTTACTATACAACCAGTCAGCATGCCAAGAGATTCACAAACAACCAACAGGGTTGATTCCAGCATACATGACTGAGGGAGATTAACCCATGTCTGACACGGATCCCAGGCTAACTCAAACTTAGAGGCTATGCCATTACTCTTCTGGTATACATGTCGGACGGCTTTGAAACGAAACGGCGGATCCAAGCGACAGACCCGTCCCAAACGAGTACAGGCATTACAAGCCGAGGCGCCCGCGCGAGTGGTGCATCGAATATGACGAACCCGACAACGTTCACATCCTCGTCCGATTCTCATGGCAGGCTGTGGGGCAAGAGGCCCTTAGCGTTCAGCGCTGCGGGGAAAGGACAACAAACGGACAGGGACATCGGCGGGCTAAGGAGATTCATCCAGCCTACTGGACAGGAGGACGAGATTGACGGCGAGTGTGGCCTGATGGGGGGAGGGATGGATGGGAGCACGACAGAGGAGAGGAGGACGGGTATGGCTGCGAGGTGAAATGGCAGCTTGTCGGCTATTGATTTGTTGCCAATGCGGAGTCTGTCTCCCCCGCGGGAGCCTGGGGCCAGCAATTTCCCGTTTGAGTCTAGTGGTGTTTTCCCCGCATTGTCCCTGTGGCTGATTCAGCATTCAGCTTTTGCGTGCTTGCTGATTGGTGGATATACGCCTATTGCTCGGGGTGAGTTTATGGACGGACTGTTAGTGAATAGTAGTATGGATTGGGCGAAGCAAAATGATGTCATTATCGGATTCTAGAAAAGTGTGGTTCTATATCAAGTAGTAAGAACTTTCCAGATCTGCCAGAAGAAAGGAACTATTCACAACAGAATCAGATTATCTTAAATATCTTGGTGGTCAATTGAATGTCCGGTAAGCTCTTTCCCTTCCCTTTAACTTTTATTATTAGGTTCTTCTACTGCTCCGGTGTCTTTCTCTATGTCCATGTGGTAACCACATAACAAACCATGGGAGGCCGAGGTCTTACAGCTTCCCTGCAGGAGCAGACACCCTGCCAAGATGCAGCCATGACCTGAACCCACCTGTTCAATGAAAGCCAAACTGTGATCCAGGTAGTAGGGTCTCAGTCCTCCTTCCGGACAGCCATCTATGACAGGTGTGGAACTCTGCAAGGTACAATTTCTGGTCTCATAATCCACGAGATCACTGCACACATGTAGGTTAAAGGAATGAGGTTGCAGACTCCCAGGGCAAGTGGTGTAGCCGCCACATCGATCCAGGGCATTTGATACTGATAAAGGGGATGAATAGGACACAAAATACAAGATGAAAGCAATAGACCTCGGCGTTATGTTGTAGCAGTTGATTCTTTTCGAAGGTTAGATACAAAAATGCAGAATGACAGGAGAATAAAGGAAGAGAGTGTAGGATAAGATTGTGTTCTACGTTAAGAAGCGTGACGATGCACGTGGGTGGTATAATACAGGGCCGGGCTGGTATAATGGAGATAATCTAGCTCATTTCAACTGCCAAAATCGCTGTTTGCGGTAAGTTGCAAGGTACATGGGTTAACTGGTGGAAAGCAAGATACGCTACTATGCCTCCAAGGTATATTCCTAATAAAGGTCCCCACCAGAGTGAATTGGTCCATGCTCCCAACAGACAGGCCTGCATAGCTAGCATCTTATATTGCATAAGAATAAGAGTGGCATTGAGTTGAACTGGATTGCGGGGAACCCTTACCGGCAAAACACATCAAGCGGGAAAGCACTTCTCCGGGCCTTCAACACCGCTTACCCGGTACAATATGCCAGACATACGCCTTTCAAAGAGTACTCTCATAGCCACAACCGCATTGCTATGGACTGCCATTTGCATCTAGATCCACCGTCACAGTCAGGGGCTGCATCTACTACGTTCGTGGCTAGTGATAGTGCGCCGTGGCCGTGAAATGCGAGGCCGGGAAGGCGAGAATTCGATCCTCAAGGCTGGGAAAGAGATGGGTAGGAGTGGGATTTCTATAATTTGGGAGAGTCAGTCGGGAGGTGGGAGGTGGGGGGAGGATGAGTGTGCCGGATCTCGAGAGGTGGAGTCATGATGAGGCTGAAAGGTGTGGAGTGAGAAGTTGAAGGTGGAGTATGAGGTCGATAAGGAGGTGCGGCTTAATTTTCCGCTGAGGCAATTTGTGGGTGTGTTAAATGGGATGGAGTGAGGCGGTAGTAGAGGTTCGATTAGTCCAATGGAATGGGGATATCCTTTCGACTATATGTTGGTGCATGTGAATGAATGCCATTGTTTATCGCGCAATGAGGCTGTAGCGGAGCTAAGTGGAAATGGAATCATGGAATGATATGCGTCGGGTCGGTCCGTCATGTTTGCGCCACTATATGATCTCCAAAAATCCAAAGATTTGCAACTCAAGCCCTAACGGGACATGGATAACCCGTCACCAGTTAGGAAGGAAAACAGGCTGGCGCTAGGCAGAACGGACCAGGGATCTCTGCCTGTCGCCGACCGCTAGTTTGGTCGAGGACCATTGGCCATTCGAGTTACTCCCAGGTTGTTGTCTAGGCTCTGCGCGATCGCATCCAGACCAGTGAATAATGCAGACCCATTAGGCAGACATGCATGTCAACCGCGTCCCACGTTGCTTGCCGCATCCCACAGCCTCCCTGCGTTGAAGATCCATAGAGGCTCTGCTCTGCTGTGGTCCACTCGTTCAACATTTAATTTCTTTTTCTCTACTCATAAGTGAATCTGTAGAGTTGGTGGTCATGTAGTAGACAAACTGATGTCATCTGTCCCCAGGGGAATCCTCTTGACCTCTCCCCTGGTGCCCGGCTGACTGATTTCTTTGCTTGCCCTGTGACCGACCCGAGCAGCCACACTCCATCGCCACACTGCCTCTGCCTCTGCCTCTGCATTCAACTAAGTACGCACACAACATCCTGGGCTGTTGGTAAGGCTGGAGAAAGCTCCAGCCGTGACACCTTGCTCAAGCAAACCGCGACAACCCCCCCTCGCAGCTGAGCCACACAGTTGGTTCGATGAGAGTAGCGAAAAGCAGCTATGCCCCGGCTGATCCTGACGTGCGGTCATTGTTGCTGCGATTTGCAATATCATTTAACTTTATAAGAATTCCACCGAGTCGCAGCTCCCACCCGACCTGAATCTTCATCATCAGGAACGATCATCTTCTTGATGGGATCGTTTGCTATTTTAATTCTGCCCTTCCCTTCCTTCGTTCTGTGATTTCCTCCTTTCCGTCCGCCCTCTTCACCTGTGGACACACGCGCAGTTCACTCGTATTCACCTTCCCCTTCCCTTCCCCATCTTTCCCCCCTCCTTCACTTATCAGGCGCGGTGAACCCATGACTTCACCCACATGTCTTGGATCCATGACATCGTCGCAACGCGCTGTTTACTACAAATTTCTCAAATGAAAACAGTACCTTCGTCTGCTTTTGCGCGCTGCCACAATGTGCCCTGTCCATCTATAGTAGTGAGCTCTACGGACCCTACCGCGCGAAAGCGGCTGTTACCATACGTCTACGCCTACGCCTCATACCACCTACTACCGCAAAATCTGAGTCTGATCCAGCATCGCAGCGCAAGATAGGGCATGTGTATTGTCGAAGAATATACCGCCTCGTACCCTGACGTCCGACGAAGGCGGGTCCTTCAGCGGTGCCTCTTGGGGAGATCGTTAGGGTACTGTTATCGCACCCAGGTGGTCAGCCCTGGCGAGCGCATCCCTGAGCGCCCGGCCAGTCAGTTTCAGTACGGGAAACCCAGAAGTACTTATCGACCGGCCATGCAGTCACTGCGCGATCTGATCGTCGATCCGCGGGAGCCGGCGCGGCGGAGACAGTCCCCAAACTATCCGCAACGGATGCCCTCGCGACGAAGTGACCCTTTTCGAGTTTTCTTTCCGTTCATTCGACGAGCATCTGACAGCGATGACGTGTGGAAGAATGACGAATATCGGCCGCGAGGTCGGGGACGGTCGCCTCGGCCGGTCACTATGGCACGGGATGTACCGCCCATCAAACGTGAACACCGGAGCGTTCCAAGGAGACGGCCTCTAAATTCAAAAGTCAGGGTGGTCACCCCACCACCAGAGCCTCTATATAAGGAGGAACCACTGCGACCACGGCCCGGAAGGTCACCTGCTTCGCCTTCTCTCTCACCCCGGGATCCAGGTACCTTCCGTCGTCCAGTCATTATTCATCAGGAGCCAAAGCCACGACCAAGCCCAATGCCTTCTCCAGGCTCATCTGGCTATCGATTCAGGAATCCATGGCACAGTAGATCCCCATCTCCAGGCCCCTCCAACTGGCGTCGCAAGGAGCCACGGCCAAGTCCATCAGTATCCCCAGGACAAGCAAAACCTCAGGAGTCACAGCCGCAACCATCTCCAGAAGGTGCACCAAGTACTAATGCTCCAGCAGCACCTGTCACCCCTCCCAAAAAGAAAGAGCGACGCCCCAGGGAGCGTTCCCCATCTGTCGAGCGTGTCCCAATTCGCAAAACACGTTCCACCCCAACCGTTCCGGTGGAGGTGCACAACCCCCCAGCTCCAGACAGCGGCCCCAAACCAGTTACAACGTCAAACACCACATCTCCAGGGAGTGGACCCCGCCATGTGCAGTTTTCTGACATAGTGGATCATCTCTCTATATCCGGAGAGAGCAATGCTCCCTCGTCTCCTACCGGCCCTCCGCGCTTCTATAGACAATTTGCCAGCGCAGGTCGCCGTAGGTCCCCAACTCCGGGGCCTACACCCAGAGTAAGAGAAGGACGAGGTGATTCAAGCTCCCAAAGAACCCGATATGTGTATGCGTCTCCTGCTGCGAGTCGTTCATATCCCCCGGGCGTTGAGGTGCTGATTGTGACTCCGCGCAGGTACCGACCAGGAGGAATCACGCCGCTAGTGAACCGGGAAGCCGTTGACATTCACGAAGTTGAACCCGGGAGAAGCAGTTCATGGTCTGGACGGGCTGCTAGGGTGGGTTTAGAGGGGAGCGGTTGGCGGGTGGAGCGTCGGCCCAGACGTGGGATGGGGAGGGAGGAGCTGGGAACAGGCGCGAGGCCGAGGATCGTATCACTTTCACCGCCGAGAGGGCGATGGAGACCCAGAATGCGCCAGACTGAGCGGTATGGGGGGTTCGAGTCGGGCGATGAACGGGTGGTTAGGAATGAGGGCGGTTCGGGGCGTGTCTGGAGGTGGCTGTAAGAATTAGGGTCATGGTGGAAGTTTGTAAGATGTTGTTAGTAGTGGACATTTCGGGCTATTCCTCATGTTAATCGTGTTTCGTGTCTCGATAAGAAAAGAAGAACATTTTTTAGTGTTTGAAACCGCTATAAGGATAGAAAATGATATATATCGTTTAACTGAGAGATGAAGCAAGGAGCAGGTAAGATGGAGGCTGGGGACAGTTCCCCACATGACTATCACCACGTGACCTCAAGGGGACCTCGGCAGCGGTTAGCGGCGGGCCGGCGGGCGGAGAAGAGGAGAAGCAGCAAGCATGCATGTGCATCTCATCCCATCTCTCATCACTCTCCTGTGCTACTTCAAACCTACCTGCTTCTTGCTTCATCCCACTATCTCATTGTCATCGCTACCTTATTCAAGCCTGGTTATTTTCCACATTATCTCCTATTATTGATACCCACAATGCTTGCCTCCCGTCTAACCCCGCGAACCATCCCCGCACGCCAATGGCGTCGACACTTCAGCGCCGCTCGACCGACTCTGAAGGAGATCCAAGATGCCTACATTCTCAGTGCGGCGCGCACTCCAACCGCCAAGGCACGATACTCTGTACCCAACGTTTACAGCCATACTAATCGGAATACAGTTCAACGGCTCCTTTGTCTCTGTCCCGGCTCCTCAACTCGGCGCCGTGGCCATCAAATCCGCAGTTAGCAAATCGAACCTCCCTGTCGAGAAGATCACCGACGTGTACATGGGCAATGTTCTACAAGGCTCCGTGGGCCAAGCACCCGCGCGTCAAGCCTCCATCTTCGCCGGCCTCGCCCCCACCGTTGAAGCCCTGACCGTGAACAAAGTGTGCGCATCCGGCCTCAAGGCCGTCGCTCTGGCGGCCCAGAACATCCAGCTCGGACTAGCGGAAGCACAAGTTGCCGGTGGTATGGAGAATATGTCGCGTGTGCCGTACTACATGGCACGATCTAGTCAGCTCCCTCCTTTTGGGGAGATTAAGCTTGAAGATGGCCTAATCAAGGACGGGCTGTGGGACGTGTACAACCAAATTCATATGGGGATTTGCGCGGAGCAGACGGCAAAGAAGTATGAAGTGTCACGGGAAGAGCAGGACGATTATGCCATTCAGTCGTACGAGCGGGCACAGAAGGCGTGGGCGGAGGGACTGTTTAGCGAGGAGATTGCCCCAGTGACGGTGAAGGGCAAGAAGGGGGATACGGTAGTGGAGAGGGACGAGGGCTTTGAGAACCTCAAGGCAGATAAGCTGCGCGGATTGAAGCCTGCGTTCTTGCGTGACGGCACTGGCACCGTCACGGCGGGTAACGCGTCCACGATGAATGATGGCGCGTCCGCCGTCGTGGTGGCTAGTCGTGAGCTGGCGAGGGAGTTTGGCACGGGAAATCGTGCTCTGGCAAGGATTGTTTCTACTTCTGATGCCGCTATCGACCCTGTCGATTTCCCTGTGGCCCCGGCCAAGGCGGTGCCGATTGCGCTGGAGCGCGCGGGCATCAGCAAGGAGCAGGTGGCGGTTTGGGAGTTCAACGAGGCGTTTGCGGCGGTGATTAAGGCCAACGAGAAGGTGAGTACTACACTCATACCTTTGACATTCATTGAATATGGCTAACCAAACAGATTCTGGGACTGCAAAACGCGCGAGTCAACCCGCTGGGTGGAGCCATCTCGCTGGGTCATGCGCTGGGCAGCTCGGGCTCGCGCATCCTGGTGACGCTGCTGCACCAGCTACAGCCAGGCGAGTACGGTGTGGCGGCCATCTGCAATGGCGGTGGAGCAGCTAGCGCGATGGTCGTGCAGAAGCTGGACCGGGTGGATTAAACATCCATGTACATATGAAGAATTTGATGCCAACATGTTCACACTAGCTAGCGGTCAATTTAGCCTCAGCCTCCCAAAAATCAAGCCAAAGGCCAACCCTAATAATGCCCCTGCACCGTCAACGTCCCCGTCTTGGTAACCAAATACTCATCCACGGCCACATCCTTCCCGCTCTCCTTACCATACCCACTCTCCTTCATGCCCCCAAACGGCGCCTCCGCAGCCGACATACTCCCCGTATTCAAGCCCACCATACCGGCCTCCAACTTCTCAAACAACCTCCACAAGCGATCCGCATCTTTCGTAAACGCATAACTCGCCAGCCCCATACTAGTATCATTCGCCCACTGCACGGCCTCATCCTCCGTATCAAACGCATACAACGCCGCCACCGGCGCAAACGTCTCCTCCCGACTAACCAACATCTCCTTCGTCATGCCCGTCAGAATCGTCGGCTGGAAGAAATACCCCTTCTTCCCCTCGACCCTCCCCCCACCCAAAATAACCTCAGCCCCCAACCTCCTCGCATCCTCAATCTGCATCTCCGCCTTCCCCACCCCCCTCTCCGTCGTCAACGGCCCCATCCCCACCCCCTCCTCCATCCCATGCCCGACAACCAACTTCTCCGTCCTCTCCCTCAACAACCCCGCAAACCTCTCATAAACCCCCCGCTGCACATACACCCTATTCGCCGTAATACACGCCTGCCCAGCATGCCTCCACTTCAGATTCATCAACGCCGCGACAGCGGCCTCCAAATCCGCATCCTCAAACACAATAAACGGACAATTCCCTCCCAACTCCAACGTCACCTTCTTCAACCCATCCGCACAAATCCCCGCAATCAACTTCCCCACCCTCGTCGACCCCGTAAACGTCACCTTCTTCACCAACTCATGTCGACACAACGCCTCACTCAACGAAGGCGTATTCTCCATATCCGTCGTCAACACATTCACCACCCCCGCCGGGAACCCCGCCTGCATAGCTAACCCCGCAATCGCCAACGCAGACACAGGACTCTCCGGAGACGGCTTCACAATCATCGTACACCCCGCCGCGATCGCCGCCGCGACTTTCCTCAGCACCATCGCCACAGGGAAGTTCCACGGTACTAGAGCTGCCGCTACGCCGATGGGCTGCTTGATCGTCATGATGCGACGGCCCGGCACGGCGGAGGAGCTGATCGTGCCGGAGACGCGCTCGGCTTCGCCTGAGAACCAGCGCGTGAAGGAGGTTGCGTAGTCGATCTCGCCGAGCGCGTCGGAAAGCGGTTTGCCTGTCTCGTAGGTGATGATTTTGGCGAGGTCGGTTTTGTGCGTACGGATGAGGGTGTCCCAGGCTGTGAGGAGCTCGGAGCGGTAGCGCGCGGTGGTGTGGCGGAAGGTGAGGAATGCTGTGTGTGCGGAGGATACGGCGTGGGGGACGTCGAGGGTTGTGCAGGTCGGGATTTGGGCCCAGGGGTGGGAGGTGCCGGGGTCTGTTGGGGATTTTCATTAGGATGGGCGTTGAGGGGAAGGCATGGAGGTGGGGGGGATGGCATACCGATGACTTCAAAGTGCTGGTTGCTTTGGGATTTGATCCAGGTGTTGTTGACGAAGGCATCGAAGTGGAGGATGGAGGGGTCGGAGAGCTAGAAGTGTGAGTTAGAGGAATGGGAGATTAGGGTTGGAGTGAGACATACTTGGAATGGAAGCTCGTATTGGGCCATTGTAGCTTGAGTTGTTCACTATCTGATGGATAATGTTGAGAGTAGGGATTGAAGGATGAGATATCAGGGAAGTATCACAATATAAGGGATATGGTTGAGAAGAGGGGAAGATAAGCTGACCCCGCATCTCGGATATCGGCAAGTTTCCTACAAAACTACTATTAGATTACGATTGACCCAAATACCATGTATCAACTTTATCATTCGCTGATCATCTATATACATAACAGCTCTGTAGTCTGTACATCAGCTGCTTCTAGTGCAGGTACTCATTCACCACTTGCGTAAATGCCGTCGCATTCTCCAACATCGGCAGATGACCCGCCTTTGGCACCAACTTCAGCTCGGACTTGCTCTTCAGGTCTGCCACCATCTGCTGCATCGTCTTGGGCAGCACACCGTCACTCTCGCCGGCCACAAACAGGCCCGGCACCTGTGCCTGTGCCATCCGGTCCCGCACATCATACGCACACAGGGCCTGCACGCTCTGTCTGAAGCCGGGCAGACTGTTCGTCCGCACCAATTCCTTCGCCTTGGCGGGCAGATGGGGCTGTGTCTCGTACGACTCAGCTGTGAACCAGCGCCGCACGGTGATTTCGGCCAGCTTCTCGCCGACAATCGCCTGCTGCGTGGTGGGCGACACGGCGCCCTCGCTGGCTGCCAACTCGACACGCTCGTTCCAGGCCTTACGGTTCGTCTCGGGGCTGGAGCTGTTGGTGTCGCAGGAGATGAAGCGCTCCACGCGCTCCGGGTACAGCAGGGAGGTGTTCAGCACGGTCACACCACCCAGACTGACACCGATAAGGGTGGCCTTGGGAACGCGCAGAGCATCCAGCAGCGCGATGATATCCGAGGCCAGTAGATCGATGTTGACGGGCTTCTCGCCGCATTCTTGCTGCCGACCACGGGTGCAGTACCGGACAATGCGGAAGTTTTGGTTGCGAGGGTCGGAGAGGAACTGGTCGACAAAGTCGTCCCAGATGGTGTAGTCCACCAGGATGGAGTTGCTGAGCACGATGACCGGGCTGTGGGGGTCGGTGCTACCCTCCAGGCGGTAAGGGAGCTCGACGCCGTCGGGGGTGGTGACGAAGGACTCGACGGCCGGGCGGGTGGGAGAGGGCAAGGTGCGGGTTTTGCCGTCAATGGACGACCAGGGACCGATGACATCCGGGGAGGTCAGGGAGGACAGCTCGCGGGGAGCGGGTCCGAAGGTGTAGGCCCACTGGTAGGTGCGACGGCGGGTTTTAGCCACGACGTCGGTCATGATGCGGGTGCGCCAGGGAGTGTCGGTGGCGGCCTTGTATTCGGGACCGCCCAGACCATTCTGGGCAGCGTACTCGTGCACGGCGAGGTATTCGCGCGGGGCTTTGGGGTCGATGGTGGAGGTGACAAAGAGGCGGGAGGAGCGCCAGCCGGGCACGCGGGACAGCATGGGGATGTGCTCTTCGCGGTACCAGCGGGTGAACTCGTCCTCCTTAGCGGCGTCGGCGGAGGAGAGGGAGAGGGAGACGGCGACAAGGGCAGAGCCGGCAGCCTCGGTGTCGGGGGTGAGTTCGAGGGGTTTGTAATCAGCCGCCTTTTGCTCGACAACGGTATCGTAGAGCCGGCGATCGACGTCAATCTGGGCCATGGTCGCCTTTTCCCGGGGGGTCTTGATGGTGTCGCCGCGGAGGGCGAGGTAGGTCTCGCGCGTCAACTCAACCATATCAGTAATGTCGTAGAGTGCCACCCACTCGGGCTCCTCGCCGTCGGTTGCGCGATAGCGGAAGCCATTGGTGCAGAAGGGCAGACGCAGGCGCAGAGGACCGTGTTCGGTATTATACCAGTCGTGGAATTGGGCCGCAGGGAGGGAGGGACGAGGGTTCATCGTCACCCAGAGAAGGCCGGGAGTCGTCATTTTGAATATGATGTTAAGCAGGGACAGCTGACACCAAGAGAAGTAGAGAGAGTAACTGCAACGAAATCAATGATGAGGGGCAGATGGCGGGGTGACCGGCGATAATAATCATTATAATGAGAATCCGACTGACTGCCGACCACACAGCCGATGGCGGCCGATGGTTGAAGTCATCGGCTATATCTTTAAGTTCCAGTCTTCATCTCCCAGGTACCAGTGGCGGGGAGCCCACTGGGGAAGCCACTGGGGTTTACGGGGTAGTTTGAATCCCAAGATGTCATGGTAGATAGACAGATGGGAGATCCTCCAAACACACTTGACTAGCGAGAGGAAGTTGTATAGAAGGAAGAAGGGCTCTCTCTACGAAAGGCCTGGGAAATGGAATAACTCTGCAGCCTGGGAGTTCAGGCATGACTTTCGGTAGCCACAAACTGCCGAGTCACCTGATGCTATACTCCGATAATGAGTCACGTGTGACCCTCCAGACTCTGACCTGGGCGGTGAGGTGACTGGCAGAATGGCAGACCGGGCGGAGTTAGTCACTTTCACGCCGAGATGCAACCCGACGATTAGATCATCTAAGAACATCCAACTTAACTTCAACTACTCGATCAGCTTGCCTGTTCTCCCGGCTTCAGGCTAGATCTCTTCTCCTACCCTATTTCCCACTGTCCGGCTCACGCTTCTCGTAGCTGAGAGTCATGGCGCCTCAGAAATCGGTGGCAGAGGTGCCCCGTTCCCTAATTCCCCGTCTGACTTGGAACGGCTCCTCGACTCGCACTACTTTTACCTCTCCCCAGACTACCGCCCTACCGGCGAAGCGCCAACAAAAGCAGTATATCGTACGGAGTCGGATTTCTGCTGGACGACAACTGCATACCTCGACTTCCCCGTCCACTGCCTCTTCAACATTCCCCGCAGCAGCCCGAGATCTAGGCACATCGATCGCAAGACGCTTCCCTTCCACAACCAAGCCGGCCAGCCAACCAGCCGCACCCCTTGGGAACCCCATCCGACATAATGGTGTCTATGTCGCTGCATTCAACCCGGCTCGGAGAGCTTTTCATGCGTCCGCTCCGCGCCAGCGCGACCATCACTTTGATACATTGAAATTCGTCCAGCGATTGAAAGATGAGGGGTTTAGCGAAGAGCAGGCTGTTGCCATGATGCGGGTCCTGAACGACGTCATTCAGGAGTCCATCCAGAACTTGACTCGGACAATGGTGCTTCGGGAAGGTTAGTCACTCCTGTGGTTTATACATGCTATACTCAAGAGCATTTCCATTCTAAGTCCATTTCTACAGACACGGAACGATCGGCCTATACACAAAAAGTCGACTTTGCCAAACTCCGCTCCGAGCTCCTCAACGCAGATTCTACCGAAGCGCAATTGACTCGCTCGTCGCACGAAAAGATCGCCGCTGATCTCGCCAAACTCAACTCCCGTCTACGCGACGAGATCGGTCGCACGCAGGCGTCAGTGCGACTGGATCTGAATCTTGAGAAGGGTCGTATCCGGGAAGAAGCCAATGGCCAAGAAATGCGTATAAAGGAGACGGAAACGAGAATTGAGCAGGAGGTGGCTGGGTTGAGAGAGCGTGTAGAGGCTGTCAAGTTCTCCACGCTGCAATGGCTCATGTAAGTGGTATCCGACATTCCACACAATACAATGCTGACAGATCTTCTCCAGGGGTGTATGCACTGGTACCGCTGCACTGATTCTTGGTGCCTGGCGTCTCTTCATGTGAACCTATCATTCTGTGGGCTTTCGGTCCAGTCGGCCGGATTAAGATGCCTTGTCTGTTGCCTTCATATCAACTCCCCACTATTACTCCTTACCGCCGAAAAATGTGGCGGAATTAGGAACAGGTGGCTGGTTCTCTCTTCTCTTTTGTTTAATTAGCGATGTGGTGGCTTCTGCAATCATTCTATATATATACTATTATTCTATTTGTTATCTTCCGAGGTGTAGTAGATATATTGTGGGATGGGACTCCTATCCTGCCTGTGGCCGGCATGGAATGAAGCGAGCTGTGAAGTGATATGATGCAATTCCGTGACATGTATTATGTTACCACCACTAATTGGCTCATTCTGCATTAGATCGGCTGTTCGCCTAAACGACTGCTGCAGAAGGTGGGGGTATTACGAACCATGCGATTCCAGTGATAAGGGAAATGAAGGGGGCGGAGAATAGAGCGATGCAGTGTCATACAAGCCCTGTAATACTCAGTGACCGACGGGGTCCGCCGGCGTCAAAAAGAGGGGGAAAACACCCTCATTTACAATCAGGCAATGATTGGCCTGGCATGCTCTTCGTTCCTGTCTGTGCCAGGTTCTTCTCGCTCCACTCTTCGGTAGAACTACTAGTCAACTCCTCGCGTCTGCGCCGCTCCAATGGCATCCATATCTTTCTGCAGCTTATCATCGGCTCACAACAGGAACAAGGGGTAATTGCGTCCTAGCTCGCCCGCCAGGTAGCCAACGATCATGCTTGTTCAAACTAGCACGTCTTCTTGAAGTGTGACTGGCGATATATCACGCTATAGCACTATGCTTGGAACTGCCACAGTTTGATCCATCACAATCGGGCTTAGTTGTACACTGTCAACAAGAAGCACGCTAAAGAAATCTCCGCATGCAGAGCACGTCAAAACCCAGCTAGTTACTAATGTATCATGCACCATGGCCTCATACAAATACCCTTCCCGGCCCCCTGGGGCGTCAACAATGGCGTTGTACTGCACTCATTCACAGGCATCAGTACCATATTTGGCTGAGCCCTACTAGCACTTGGTGCATCTCTCTTGCGCATTGGGGCTTTCTCAGGGGCTTGCAGTACATACTCGTGTCGCCCACGTGAAGTTTCCACATACTCGCACCACCACAGAGAGACATCCTTCTAGAAACGCACCGATCAGAGTAGATCCCATCCTGCAGGAAAGCCGCGATCATGCTGGTCTCTTTCGGTGTCGCATTCTACCTAGTATTTCTGCTGTTTTCTCCGGCGCGGGCTCTTCTAGAGGTCTTTGAGGTATACCAGCCCGTCTCCACAGGCCATGGCAGCGTTGGATGCAATGAAGAGATCCTCCTAATGGATCATGTCTTCGGCTATAGCTATGGTGAACCATACGTCGGTAGGACGGAAGCAGTGCCTGATCCGATCAGTTGTTCAGCGCTAAATGATATGAACCAGGGATCTACGAGCCACCAAATTGTACCTTTGACACCGTTCGCATCAATTTCACTGTCACCTCCAAGGGCAGACAGTATGATCGTCTGGCGCTCATGTACTTAGGGGACACAGAGGTGTTCCGAACATCAACTGCAGAACCAACGACCGACGGCATCATCTGGACCTATATCAAAGACATGTCTCAATTCAACGTACTATGGAAAGAAAAACAGAAATTGATCTTTGATCTTGGAAACATCATTACTGATGTCTACACCGGCTCTTTCAACACCACCCTAACCGCCTACTTCTCATACGAGGGCAACGTCAGGACCCCAGACGTCATTCTCCCAATCTCTGCTCGCAAATCCGCCCAGAACGCATCAAGCGACTTTGAGCTTCCATCCGACAATGCCACGGTGCAATATCAGATCCCTGCAACAGCATCCCGTGCAGTCGTATCCATTTCTGCATGTGGACAGTCCGAGGAAGAATTCTGGTGGTCCAACGTCCTCTCTGCCGACGAGTACACCTTCGACAATACCATCGGTGAATTGTACGGGTACTCTCCATTCCGTGAAGTCCAGCTCTATATCGACGGCGTCCTTGCGGGCGTGGACTGGCCATTCCCCATCATCTTCACCGGCGGTGTCGCGCCAGGATTCTGGCGTCCTATCGTAGGAATCGACGCTTTCGACCTACGCCAACCCGAGATCGACATCACACCCTTCCTCCCCTTGCTCAAGGACAACAAGTCCCATTCGTTCGAGATCAGAGTTACAGGCCTGAGCGTCGCCGACGACGGAACAGTAACATTCGCCAACACAGTCAACTCCTACTGGGTAGTCACCGGCACTATCTTCCTCTACTTGGACTCCTCCTCACCACACAGCACAACCACCGGCCAAGCGCCCGAAATCTACGCCCCGGCACCCACCCTCACCGTCACGCGGGATCTCACCCAGAGTTCAAACGGGACCAACGAAACACTATCATACTCCGTCACAGCCGAAAGAACATTCACCGTAAAGTCCTCCGAATACCAATGGAGCCAAAACCTCACCTACTCCAACTACGGATACCTAAACCAACAAGGACTCAGCCAGAAAAACAACCAACAGACCTCCGGCACTAACACCATTACTCAACTTACCGGGAATAAATCTACGAATGAGGTCAGCTTCCAGTACCCTCTGATCTGTAACACGACGTACGGACTGCAAGATGGCCTTTCCATTAGTGCCTATATCCGCAGAGGCCTGGATATCGACTCGACCGGTGGTGATGGGCTCGGGGTCTCGACGTATACGTTTACCTCGGGGCCGTTGGATCTACATACAGAACAATATGGAACGGCGTATTATTTCGAGCCGGAAGATGATGAGAGTTCGGTCTCGTATGGTGAGACGGTTGATGTCTGGGGAAGTAATGCTGGGGGCGTTGAGTATTCGAGGAATGTTCGTGCGGTGAATGGGACGGTTGTTTCGGATAGTGAGAGCTAGAATCATTCGATTTGGAGGGTGTAAGTATGAGATCTGGGTATGATTAGGATGGATGAAGTTGGGGATATATATATCTGGGGCCTTGTATTCTGCGAAACACATTTTGAGTAGTATCCTGACATTAATATAAATGTAACAAACCCTGACTACACACTACAACGTTACATTGGATAACTCTTCCTATATCTGGTAAACAGAATTAGGCTCTTTTGCGAAACTTGACATCGGGGTCATAGTCTCTCATATTTCTGGCTATCTTCCCTCCACGATGATGCAGTCTAATTACCGGTCTCTAATTGGGGGCACGACACGGGGCTAGAAGCGAATTGGCATCGAAGGGCCATCGGCTAAGAAGTCCAGATCAACAACCAAATATGGCAATGCTCGGATCGGCAAAGCTTCCAGGCCCCCCCATCCCCACCCGGATTACCGACTTAGGTGACCGGTGTGAATGAAGAAGGTTTGATCCGGCTTGCCGGCTATCGAATCTTGAATAAGTAATTAGTGATTGTGCATAAAGTAGGTAAACCGAAATTGGTACTAGTGATTTGGGTACCAAGCCCGGTCAACTCTTGCAGGAGAAAGTAGCTTGCTCCTCGGTTTACGAATACTACAATACTGGAGGCCGTAATATCAAATTTGGATTGAATTTCTTTATTTATTGAAGACAAAATCAACTCCAACCATGCCGGTTCATAATCAGTTCAGGCTGAACGAAGCTAGAAACCAAAATGTGAAACCAAAATGTGAAAGGGACTATGTACAAAAATCCACCTTCATATCAAGGGGAAATAAATTTTTACAAGACAAAAATTGTGGTTTGCGAGGTGGTCATTTACAGACGGCTGTGCTGGGAGTCCTGGCCTAGAGGCTTCGTTGTGAACGAGCCGAAGAAGGCATTGAGGGCGTCCACGGTGCCGCTGCCCTCGGACAGCTGAACGGTACAGGCGACGTGGCTGTCAGGGCGAGTAACGACAACACCACCCTTCTCCACGTCGAAGCCTAGCTTCTCGTGGGCGGCGTAGGTGGCCTGGGGAACGCGCACGTCGGGGATGTTGTCGGCGTAGAGGTGGTGGTGGTAGTCGCGGAGGATCTTGGGGATGGAGTCCACGTCGATCTGGTTCTTCTCGCCAGCGTAGACCAGGCAGATGGAGAACAGCTTGGAGTGAGGCAGGTGGTTTTCGAAGAACGACACGTCGGCAATGTCGGAGCGGCGGTACACGGAAAGGAACGAGCGTTCCTTCTCGAGGTTGGCAGCAAGATCGGTGATCGCCTTGCTGGTCTTGTCCTGCTTACCGGCGAAGATGAAGATCCGGAACGCACCGTTGGCGGGAATCTCCTGCTCCAGGTGCACGTGGTTGGAGTCTGCCAACCGGGTGACGGTGGTCGGGGTGAACGCGCGACCAGGGGTCAGGCGGACACCGGGGACGTCGAACAGCGGGGATTGAGCGGGGTGGGTAGCGTCCCAGGTGAAAACATTCGGCTTGTAGGCAACACCGTAGCCACTGGTGAATTCACAAGAGGACTTGAAGGTCTTGACGAATTCGTCTTCCTCTCCGCCAGCCGCAGCAGTAGTGTGGCTAGCCTCGCCGACCTCGCCGGCAGTAGGGCGACGCTTGGAGAACAAAGCGGCGTATTTGTTGTCGAAGCTCAGCAGAGTCTCGGCGATATCCTTGCGCTCAGTCTCGTAGGTGCTGAGGATGGAGCGCTTAGCCAAACCAGACTCAACGGCGTGGAGCTTCCACGCCATGTTCAGAGCATCGTGGAAAGCAGTGTTCATTCCCTGACCAGCCTTGGGCTATAGCGTTTGTTAGCATGCATATTTAACTTGCAAGATATTTTGAAGACGGGCACACTTACACTGTGAGTGTGGCAAGCATCACCACCCATGAACACACGCTCATCGAGAGTGTACTTCTCGGAGATACCCTGACCGATCGGGTAGACGGAGTACCACTCGACGCGATCCCATTCCACCCAATACGGCTGAAGAATCTTCCGAGCGGTGGCCTGAACATCCTCGGCGGTTGCTGTCTTTCTAGGATCGAAGTCGGGGTCGTCCGACGAAGCGATCTGGACATACAGACGGACCATGTTGTCCTCACGGGGAATAACCATGATGGAACCGGCATCGGAGTGGATAGTGCACTTGGTCTGTTGGCAGATGATTAGCGGCTGTTCTCATCGTGATCAAGTTTGGAATTTGCTTACCTCAATGTCAGGGAAGTTGGTCCTCACGACACCGTCCATGACACCCCAGACATAAGAGATGGGATCCTTGTACTGGATCTGAATACCAAGCTGCTGTCTGATGAAACTGCGAGCACCTTCACCGCTGAACAGATACTTGGTGCGAACAGTCTCGATCACGTTGGTGTCAATGCTCTTGAGCTGGACTTCGACGGGGTAGGTCTCGTCCAAGCCATCGTTCTTGAAACCGACGATGGTCCACGGCCTCTCGACAGTGGTACCGGCCTTCTCGATCTCATCCAAGAAGACGCGCTCGATCTTACCCTGGTGGACCAGGGTAGTGAAGGGGTATCTTGTGTCGATAAAGCGGGGGCAGCTGGGCCAGCTGCCAGTACGGTGGATACCTTGTCCGCCCGGGAGAGGATCCCAGAAAGCAACATCGTACACCTTAGCGGGCTTGAAGGCCATGATTTGGCGCTTCAGGCCCAGGTTGCGAAGAATTTCCGTCGAACGAGGCTGGATACCATCGGCGCGGCCGGTGGCGGTGGGCACCGGACGGTTGTCAATGTGCTTCACCTTGTAGCCCCAGCGGGACATGCAAAGCGACAAGACAATGCCAACCGGGCCAGCGCCCACGATGACAATGTCATACTTCTCTTGTTGTGAAGGGGCCATGGCGGCAGTGTGTAGGCGAGAGAGCGGGTCAAGCTTCGGGGTAATGGTGGAGTGGGGAAGCCAATAGATACAGAGTGGGGATGGGGTATATTCACAAGAAAGAGACAGACTCAAACATCACCCAAAGGTGGGAGAAGAAGCAGATAGAGGGATAGAGATGAAGCTGATCTGGAAAGAGAAACCTTCATGATGAAAGGGAAGGGGAAAAGGCGATATAAATACCATATGGTGAGCTGGGGTGGTGGCCCGAAGGCACACGGGGAGACAGACATCGGGGAACCACAACGGCATTCATAGTCGGCTGGATCGTGGAGAGTTTGGGGGGAGAACAGCATAATAGAGCGTGGGGACGAGCAGAAAGCACAGAGAGGGCTGAAAAACCCGCGGTGTCAGCGCTGCAGGGGGGCACAGTAATGGCCAGAAATGGCCAAAGATGGCCAAAGAAGGGCCGTGGGTAACCAATGCTGGGGGAGATCCACCGGGGCTGCGGGGACTTGGGAGGCGCTGGGGGGACGCTGATTGGCTCAGGCAGACTGCCGTTGCTCGATCCGAGCCCCCGGACTGACTTGGGATGAACTTGGGACGCTCTGCGGCTAAGCAGCTCGGCAGGTGGGATTGGTGGGAGTCACGTGGCTGGCCGTCGGTCTCCCGGTCAATCTTCCGATTCCGGGTTTCCCGGCCATTTTCATGTCATTTTCTACACTTTCTACACCTGGAGGCAAAGGTCACTGACTCGGCGGTATGATGCCGATTAGCAATTGGAATTACGTTTATGGTAACTCGAGTGGACTTACTAACAAATCACTCTACTCCTAGTCAACTAGTTATACAATAATTTCCATGTCAGGTTAAAGTGGCTAAATAAATTAGTTGCATAAACTTATGCCTGCCAGTCGACGCATAGGGCATTTTTCCTAGCACCCAATGAAGGCACGTTGAGTTCAGATGAATAAGACATTTAAAGAGGCAATTTGCGTCATATTGTCAGTATTACTATTCCTGTGACGGCGAGTGGCTCTTGAGATCACGTGCTTATTTTGATCTGTTTTGCTTGTTTTCACGTGGCGGTCACTTAACGGAAGTAGTAGTAGTACAACCTGTGGTCTCTGGGAAGCCTGGGGAAGGAAGAGATTGTGACTAAAGGCATATTCAGTTGAAAAATTAATTCAACGGCAAAGAGCAGGTATGTATGATAAGATTGCTGGAGCTATCAATCTCTATTTAGTAATAGCAATTTTCACACCCTGAGTGAGGCTCAGAGGTTATATATATCCGAACTGCAGTTGATTCAAACATATCAGGTTGTTTCATAAGTATTACTACTGCCGAATTACGTTGTGATTATACAGCAGCCCACAGTCCCAGATTCCCCATCCAGAAATTTAGCTAGTTTCCAGTACAGTAAGGCAGCGATGCTTGTAATCTTTGAATTATATCAAGATATGTTGACCTCGAATGTTACTTGTTGGATTCATTCATAGACACATACAGACATACATACATCAAGACCATACATACACATAGTAATTACAATTACAGTAACCGCAACAACTCCAAGTCCTTCGCCACGGCTGGACTGTTCTGCGCACAGTCCTCCAAAAACTGCATCATCTCCTGGTTCCATTGCTCCCATCCCGCCGGCAAAGTCTCCTGTAACCGTCTGTCCGAGGAGTGAGATATACAGTAGAAGAGGAGGATTTGACCGAAGAATCTACAAAAACCAGGTAAGTACGTAACAACATTATCATACGGGAGTGGTATTTGGGGTGGGTTGTTGACTTACTGAGAACAAAATGCGAATTTAATCGGGATACAGCTCTTCATGCGCTGGAAGATGCCGCCCACGACAGGCCAATTCATTGCATTGAGCAAACCACTGTGAATCTGCTCGAGATCTTTGTCTGTTAGGGCGCCGGGCGTGTGGAGCGCCTTGTAGAGGTAAGGACGGCCGATGTGGAAATTGGCGATCATATACCGGCCACGAAGCATGGCTTCGGACACGGCGATCGCCGGGGATAGGGCGTGGCGGTGGGACGGGGTGAAGGGAAGGTGTTGCTGGGAGGCTGGAGATGGTGGAATCGGGGTGCTTGGATTCGTGGCCAGGGCAGAGGTGGTGTGGTCGGGAAACTGGAGGGCGGCGGGGAGGTTGATGCGCCATTGTTCTAGTTGGTGACGGAGTTCGGCGTTGACTGCTGGGTGGGGGAATGTGCCGGAGTCGGCTGGTAGGAACGGAGTGTTAGTTGGATGAAGATAGCTGAATGAGGGTAGGGTAACTCACAATGGAAGTAGAGCGAGTGTCGGATGCGGGTTAGAATGATTCGATGGGCGACCTGCGCGAGGAAATGGTATTGGAAAAACGAATCGTCTATCTCTTCTAATGAGAGTGAGCGAGAAGCTGGAAAGCCCACGCTTTCGAAGGTGATGAACTTGGGAATCGGGACGTATTCTTCGAGTCGGGAGAGACCGCTGGGCGGGACGTGTAATTCTTGGACGAGGATGGTTTCGTTCATTAGGCAGTTCCAATATACTCGAGATTTCATATCGCCTTCCCATTCATCGAAGTGTACATCGTGACTGGCTAGTGTCAGTTTTGCGAGGACCATTTATGCGATAATAGCCATGGATGGCTTACTTGGTGAGCATGGACAGACAGCAAGTGGCCGCTCGATGGATCATAGCCCACGAATCCATGGGGCGAAGAATTTGACTGTAGTAGATGCTTTACAAAATTAGCATTCCATCAAGGATATTCGAGCGGAAAGCCTTACAATGACAAGAGGTAAAATTGGCAGCTTTGGAGATTGTTGTCACACATCAGAAATCCAATGCGCTGGCGAGCAGTGTTGAAGAAGCGCAATCCCGGGGGGTTCTCGTAGACCACCCCCATCCAGTCAGGAGGCTCGAAACGACCACTGCGTGTCCCTAGTAATGGGAAATCCCCTTCCTGGTAGGCGTGGACAGCGATGCAGCCCAGCGCCATGATGTTGAGAACCACACAACTCTCGATGTTGTAGCCAAAGTTGCTCTCAATAGCCGCGCCCAGGGTGAAAGCATAGTAATAGTTCTTGTCGATTATAGGGGTAAACAGATTAAAAGTAGTGAAGTATGCATCCGAAAGGCCCTTGACCATGGCCAACGGAAGTGCGTTCAGCCAGTTGTCCCCGGCCTGCGCCGGGAAAGGGCAGATGTACATGGGCAATTGAGGGCGCTTCATTTCAATGTCAATCACATAGTTTTTGCCCAGTTTCTCGTGTGCTTCAAGTAACCGTTGTGGAAGAATCTCCTGAGCACCTGCCCAGGAGATCACTCCATGCTGGCTGAATGAAATCGAGACTAATCCGTTTGCCTCCGTCGGATTGGGATGCAGGTGTTGGTCGTCATGCTCCACTTCGTTCAGTCTCATTGCCTCTGGCGTAAGAGCCTGAGAGGTCAAGCGTTCCAACCTACCCAAGCTGCTCGTGCTGCGAGAATGATGCGCGAGCGAGCCTATCGTCTCCGTGCCATCCAAACTACGGGGCATCTGACCCCGAAGGGATTGGATTTCCTTAGAAAGGGTCGTGGGAACATTCTCCAACTTGGTTTCCAGTCGATGCAACGTGCTCATTATCAAGCTGAGAGAATGATCTCGTCTACTCTAAGCATTAGTAACCTTGAAGAAAGGGACTGGGTGAAAGTGACTCGGCCTTACTTGGAGGTCTTGCGCTCATTGTAGACACACTCGAGATTCAGCGACTTACACAAGCCGCACTTCGGTCGCGATTCATCACATCGCGTCTTTTTAAGCCTGCAATTCTCACATGCCTAAGAAAAGTGGTTACTACTACTATCGCGCACATTACTGGCAACGGGGAAGCACCAACCACTGTGGCTATAAAGTTTCGGGGCTTTTTGCTGGGCCCGGATGCATGATGCTGCTGCTCTGAATCCCCGGGCGAGAGGCCCTGAGGGGTGTGATCCACCAGATCGGGGGACTGGGATGCAGGGCGTGGTGGGGACCCTTGATGAGGACGCTTGCTCATGGTTGAGATTGTACGCGATAACGCCCACGGCTCCCTACAATTAGTGGTGGGAATCGCACATTGTGATCCCGACTAGCTCTGCTTCCTGTTCGTGCTGGGAAGGGCTTCGACAGTCCCAATCGGCCGTTAGATTGATCGTTAGATCGGGAATGTCGTAGAATTTCTCCAGCAAAAGACTGGATAGACTCATTTATTATCTCCGATTAGTTATCAGATAGTCCCGGTGACTCAAAATGATGCCCGGAGAAGGTGCCCTTTTCCGGAGTCACCTGACTGGGCCCGTTCTCTTCCTCTTAAGCCTCGGATGCCTCATTACTATGCTCACGTGACTCAATCCACACCCAAGGAATAGGAAAGACGAGAAGGATACCAACTTTGTATATAAAATGGCTAGATTTTCCACTATAGATATTTTCTTTGAGTGAATGTACTAACTTTCTGTGATATTTACGTCATAGTACGCAGTAAATAGTTCTGGGACTGTGAAACTTGCCCAATCAGGAATGATCTCCGTCTATTATGTGCATACTCTTTGTATTACCGCACATGCTAGTCTACTTCATATTTATATTAAGATATAGTGTTTCTAAATGAATGTCCAATGCGTATGATGCTATTTGACGTAAAGAAGTCATTTCAAACTCAATCGAACTCCATCCTATCCAAGGCTTATTCTTATGCCTGATCGAGCCCCGCTATACTGTAAGATGTTAGCTAATAGCTATGCAGTTGCTTCATCTTGATCTTAGAAATGCATTGGCTGACCAGTAGTACATCTTGCTTCTTGCATGCTTCTTCATTTTGATATTCACTCTTTCTGTTCCCAATGTCCGTATGCGGCCTAGTTAACTGGTTATTTATTCGCTTCAGAACGAACCATCATTCTTTCCGGGTTGCATACTTCGTTACTTGTTCCGCCTTGATACCACTGGTCATGACGATAATCCGATTGTTAGGGCAAGTACTCAAAGAATAAGTATTATGTGTTTTAAGTGAGCTAGCTCTTCATTTTATTATCCATGTATGTACCTCTTTTTGTGGTGATCTTATCTTGTATCACGTGCAGAGGTAATTTCCTATCAGAGATAAGTAACTAGTCACATGTTTGAGCTCATTATTCAGTATCAGCTGCAAGATCATCACGTGCACGAGCTCATTCTGAATCAGCATGTCTCTAAATCGAACCAACCATTATCCATCTCCATTTAGACACAGACTGTTGCATTCAGTAAGTTCCGGGCGCCCGGCCAACCTACTTAAGGGTACGTACCAGACTAGTATTTCGCAGACTTATCTACGTCGTATTCCCCAACCCCGGGGAAGTGCCTGTCTCGGACAAATATTTTATCCGTACCGAGCCGAGGTCCGGGGTATGGATTGCCATGCTGGTCGGCCGGATGGAGAGCGTGACCGTCGCAATCAATAATCAGTCGCGAGCTTCCTTCTTTTTTTTCCCCTCTAATCCCCCCTCTGCTTCTAATCCGTGTACGCGACTTCTTTTGTAAACTATCCTACCTATAACTGCTTTTTTCTCTCCCCTCTTTCTAGAGTCGCCGCTTCTTGCTTCTTCTGCTACAGCAGACACGACTCCTCCCCGCTCCCTTCTCCCCACTTCTCATTCTCCCCGCTCATCCGCGCCAGCCACCACCATGACCGCTTCTCCGTCCGCCGCTGAATCAATTCCAGAGGAAGTCAGAGTTCCGGAGCCCAAGCCCGTTAATCAGACTATTGCTCAGATCCGGTCGCTTGCTGCTGGTGCTGCCGGTGGTGTGTGCGCCGTTGTTGTTGGACATCCTTTCGATCTGGTGAAGGTGCGCCTTCAGACGGCAGAGAAGGGCGTTTACTCTGGTGCTATCGATGTTGTGAAGAGGACTGTGGCCCGGGAGGGTCTCGCTCGAGTAAGTTATTCTGAAAGCTGGCTTTGGGCGCAGTTGCTGATCATCGGAATAGGGACTGTATGCAGGTGTCTCTGCTCCCCTGGTGGGAGTTACGCCAATGTGTAAGCTTCTCTTCTGCCACTCCTATCGCAAGTACTAACAACTCGCGTGTATTGCAGTCGCTGTCAGTTTCTGGGTAAGTTTACGAGTTTACGGGTTGTAATTTCCTTTGGCGCAGGTGGCTGACAGCTGATAGGGTTATGATGTGGGTAAAACGCTCGTCGGCAAAATGTCCGAAGTTCGCGTAGAGAACAACACCCCTCAATACACCATTGGCCAGATTTCAGCTGCTGGTTTCTTCTCTGCCATTCCCATGACCTTGATTACGGCACCCTTCGAGCGCGTCAAGGTGCTCCTTCAGATCCAGGGTCAGAACCCCCCGCCTCCCGGTCAGAAGCCCAAGTACTCTGGCGGTCTGGATGTGGTCCGGCAGCTATACCAGGAGGGTGGTATTCGCAGTGTGTTCCGTGGTAGTGCAATGACCCTCGCTCGTGACGGCCCTGGTTCTGCTGCGTACTTCGCCGCCTACGAGTACATCAAGCGCACTTTGACTCCCAAGGATGCGGAAGGAAATGTCACTGGCCAGTTGTCCATGCCTGCCGTCCTGGCTGCCGGTGGCGCTGCTGGTATTGCCATGTGGATCCCTGTCTTCCCTGTCGATACCATCAAGTCTCGTTTGCAGAGCGCGCCCGGTCGTCCCACAATCGGCGGTACGATTCGCACCGTCTATGCCAGCGGTGGCTTCAAGGCTTTCTTCCCTGGATTTGGACCTGCTTTGGCAAGAGCCGTTCCTGCCAATGCTGCTACTTTGTACGTTATTCTACCCTGACATGTTCTAGGGCTGTCGTTGCTAACATATGCCGAACAGTGCGGGTGTTGAGCTGGCTCATCAGTTCATGACAAAGCTCTTCGACTAGACGGATGCCTTGCGCACTGCAGGTACGGTGGTGTAAGTCTATCGGTTATTTGATATTGTGGCGTTCGCTGTTTCGTCATTCTGTGGAAGCATTTTGCAAGCCTGGATATTCTGTTTTTCATTTAGACTAGACGGTTTCTGGCTGTCTGTAGCGCTAGGAATCTATATTATATCAGTAGAGAATCTGTCGCGAATTTTCCCTTGGTAGACTGATAGTAGGCTATTGCCTGTCCAGAACCAGGATCAGCGCTGTTGCTAAATGACTTGTATGATAGAGTATTGACGGAGATATTATGTAGAAAAAAAAAGTGAAACAAAAAGAAAGAGTAAGATAACGGAATAGTGAGGCAATAAAGTACAGGGTCTTTCGAAAAGTCACCGAGTCGGTGATTCCAACCGACAACCCACAAGAGCGCAAGGGGCGCGACTGGTTACTTTGTTGCTACTTGGCCGGACCTCCTTGTCACGAATCTATCAGTCCCTCACGCACCAGATTCAGGGAAGGACAACACTGGCCTCTCCTGCCGCCAGAAAATCGAAGCTCTCTTCGCTGGTTGCTGTTGTGGGAGGACTGAGACTAGTACCCTCAGACGAAACATGAATCTTTTCGTTGTCTAGCGTGGACACGAACATCGCAGTCTGACGGCCCTGGTTCCCTTGCCATTGTTTGTGTCCAATCCACTCGACGCCGTCACCGGATCCCTGGATGTTTGCCTTCCGACGAGTCTTTTCGCGTTCGAGGAGCGGAAGGTCGGCCGGCCCTGATGCATTCGACTCGTCCCCACTCCCTGGCAAGGGGAGGGTTCGGTGATGCCATTCACCAAGGAACATGCCGTCGGGGTCCACATCCTGGCGGACCTTTAACCATTCCGTCATATCATCTCCATAGAGAGATTTCAGCTCCTCCCTCGTCGTCCGGAAATTCTTAGCCCAATGCGGTCTTGCACCCATTTCGCGCATAAGCCACTCAAATGCCTCGTAATACCGTTCCGTGCATGGGGGGTCCCGATGGTACGGGCGATAGAGCGTCGCATTGAGATACAGGGTCGGGCCGCTGGAAGAGGTAGGATCGAGGAACGGACGGGTTGTCTTGTTGTAGGTAGAGTCCGCGACTCTGACTTCAATGGGGCAATGCACCCACAGACCGTCGACGGAAAAAGGGATACGCGCTGTTTCGTGATCGCCATTCAACCAGGCGGAGAGACGAGTGATAGCTTCGGGGCCCTTCTCGAGCGGGAGTGCCCATTCATTGACAAACTGCGAGTACAGACAATTCATGAGGAGACCTGATCGGGCTGGTTCTACCGCCTCTGTCACGACGGCTTCCGGTTTGAAACCATACTGCAAACCAAAGACCAGCCATTCCACCCACGGGAGAATACGAGGGAAATAGTTGGCCAGGGCCAGCAGATTATGATAGATATGGTAACCGAGTGTCTCTCCATAAAAGGACTTGGGCGGTTCCCGCAGCGGGAGGTCGGTCTTGTCGGCGTGCCAGACAACGGCACTCTTCTCATAGGGCATCCACCATACCCGAACAAATTCATGCGATGTCCACAGTCCGGATGACCATTGGGCAAGCACACTCGACAGTTTGCGTCGCGTCTGTCGCCAGGCCACCTTGAACGCGGGCTCCGCCTGCAGCGTGACCTCGACAATGATACCAAGTGCACCCAGGGAGATGAGCGCAGCCCGGAAGAGCGACGGGTTATTGGTCGCGCTACACCGCACCAGCTGCCCATTAGCCAGCATGAGAGTCAGTGATTGGATACACTCGGAGATCAAGCCATGCTGGAGAGAACTTCCATGGGTACCCGTGGAAATCACGCCGGCGACCGACTGTTCATCAATGCTACCCAAGTTAGACAACATCAAGCCATGTTTCTCCAGCTGTGCGCCCAAGTCTCTCAACCGAATTCCTGCCTGAACCGTCACCACCCCGGTCTCCGGCGAAACCTCCAACACGCGATTAAAATCATCCAAGTTTATCAGCCAGGCAGAGGTGCAGGTCAAATCGGAGGGAGAGTGGCCACTCCCCACGGTGACGAGACGACGCCGGCAATGGCGAGCGAGGTTGATGAGCTTCCGAATTTCCTCGATAGACTGCGGGCGTACGTAAAGTTCGGGACGCGAATAAAAGGTCTGCGCCCAAGTATGATGGAGGTGATGGGTGGTTGCGCGAAAAGGAACCGCAGGGTCGACCCGGGAGACCTCACGCAGGATGGCGGGGTCCATGATGGAGGGGGGAGGGGAGGGAGGATCCCGTCGCTGCACGATTGATTATCTGCACGATATGCGATATGACAGGTCGGATCAGCGGTTAGAGGGGCAGAATTCTCCGTATGGTTGGAATTTTAGTTTTGAGAAACGATAAGGGGAAGAGGGACGATCGGGTATACGATCAATCACGGCATGATGAAGGAAAGGGGAGATGCACGAGATGCCAGTAGGGAATCGTCAGTAGCAACAGTTAGTGAGAGTAGTAGTAGTTTAAGTGGATTATTAGCAATTTACCTTCCAGCAAAGCGGCGAAGTTTGGCGTGAACCGGAACAAAACGGCAACTTATGCCTGAGGCGATCATAAGGCAGCAGAATGCGGGACCGGGTCGGGACGGCGGATTATCCGGCGGGACTGCATACCCTATCTAGTATCTTAGTAGACAGTAGGGTGCAGAAAAACAAAAGGTGGTATCTTTTACTACAATTGAGCACCGTCTTCGTACGTCTATCGCTGCCACCCAGCAGAACTATATGGCTATGGCCAAGACATAATCTTACACACTTACCTACGTCGGAGGTCTGAGGCTTACCCTTTCTTTCTGACTTTCCTTCCTCAAGCAGCAGCCAAACGAGCAACATGCGCTAGTGGTAGTAGGATAGGCTTCCCTAACTACCAGTAGTAAGCAGTAGTAGGCCACCTCAGCTCGCTCGCACCAATCGATTCGAGTACCCCCTCTTTTAGAAAGTCCCACCTCTCGCTCGAAGAGGTATACCAACTCGAGATCCAGAGAGGCTCTCTTAAATCATTGAAATCTATGTATGTGTTGTACATAAACAAGCAAATATATACATATACTACTTCTACTCCCCCACCGGTCATATAGAATACCACTCAAACTTTTCAAAATCCTCGCGCACAGTCTCCCCTTCCGGCACACTCTCAACCCCAGCACGTACCGCACCTTCCTGGAAATCCGCTGCCCAAGCCTTATCCCAAACTGCAGGCTCACTCAGTGTACTCCCCGGCTTTAGGGTGCCGAATTTGAAATCCAAGTGTTCCCCCGCATCGGAAGGCAGGCGCATGAAATAGCGCACACTAGGAGGAATCTCCTCCTTCACATGGGAAATCATTACCAAGGCTTGGTCGTCCGTGAGGCCACGGAAGCGAGCATCCTCGGGTGCCGGGTGGACTTTGGTCACCCGCTTAGTGACGAACTCGCCGTGGTCGATGAAGTTGAGACACTTGTCCCGGATGGAGGCAGGCATGCCGGAGAAGGCTTCGTCTAGGATGACGATATCGGGCCGGTGGACGAGAGCGCGGAGAAAGAGGACGAGGCGCTGCTGAGCGGTGCTCAGTTCGGCGAAGCGAACTGTGTCGGCGTACTCGACTCCGTGGTCGGGGTTGTAGAAGTCGGTGTCGGATTTGACGAGGGTGGGGAAGAGATCGCGGGGAGTGGTGACTTTGGTAGGTTTTTGGGAGATGCTGGAGACGTCGGGGTCGAGTTCAGCGCGGAAGAAGCGGAGGATGGCGCTGACGTCTAGGTCACGGTCATGATTGAGGGTGGGTTTGGCGAGGAAGGTTTCCGCAAAAGCGGATTCAATGGCTTGGCGGATGGTCAGTTGACGGGGGAAGAAGGCGTGGATTTCAGGAGAGGAGTGGCCGAGACGGGATTGGAGTTCGAAGATCGAGAGGCCTGGTTTCCCGGCTTCGGGGAGTCGGGTGCGGCCGAAGAGGCGGATAGGAAGAGCGTAGGTTTGGGGATGGTCCGAGGTGATGAGAGAGAGAAGAGTGGTTTTGCCGGAGCCGTTGGCACCTAGCACGGCCCAGCGCTGGCCGCGCCGGACTGTCCAGTGCAGGCCAGCTTGTGGTTTGTTGTGTACGTGCTGGGTCCAGTCGCCCAGGACGCATTTGTCACCGTATTGTACACGGACGCCGTCCATTTCAATCAGTGGTTCACCGCCCTTGATAGGGAAGGATGGGGTAGCGCGACCCTTTCCTTGTGGGGGAGCTAGCCGCATGTCCCATATCAATTGGCGATCAAGATAGCCCGCATCGATGGATTCCTTGGCCTGTTCGTACGTCTGGTGGACCCACTGGTTCTCCTTGGCGGTAGGCTTCTCATAACTGCCTAATTTCTTCCATACGTTGAACACCTTCTCCGCCTCCGCGCGGGGAGCTTGGAGCAGAACCCGGTGGGAGTTCCCCAGCACCATGATATGCGTGATCCAGTCGGGCAGGGGGTCTTGAGGCCGGAGCGCGAGAACCAATCGGGGATCCGATTTGGCCGCCAGGCGCTGGAGGAGGCTTGAGATGCTTCTAACAGTAGCGGGATCAAGGCCCATGAACGGATCATCAAGGAGGAGCAATTCCGGCTTGCTGAGGAGGGCCTTGGCAATCCGAGTCCGTCTAGTCTGACCATTGCTCAAGTTGGCAACCGGCATATCGAGTAGTTCCTCCAGCCGGAGCTCGGAAACGATCTGTGCCAGCAGCTGCTCATCGTGTATCTTTCCATCCTGCTCAGATTCCAACGGGTTCAGGGAAGTCTGGCCTTTAAGATATTGGCGGACTGACCAGTCGGTTTCCTCGCGGAGACTCTCATATCGGGCACTCAGATAGGCGCCGCGAGTGCCCCCAATGGCGCCGGAACCTTCCCCACTGAATCCGATATATTGTATTGCGTTCCCTGCAAACCGTAGGCGGTGATCTTTCTGGGCGATCTCGTCGCTGAGGAGGTACGGATAACTGCGCGCCGTGGGCGGTGTGCAAATGTATTGACCACGGAGGACATCGAGCATCTGCGTTCTTCCCCCGGAGCCAATCACCGCCCAAGTCTGCGGAGCATCACCACCGTTGTCCTCGGCGAGGGTGGATTTGGCGGGTAGAACGAAGTTGAGGTCGGGAAAGAGGGGAGGATTGCGGCCTTTTGCGGCATCTTCGGGAGTAGGATAGTTCTCGTAGAATGTGGCATTCTGGATCCGGATTAACGGCGGCGCAACGGATGAGACTGAGCGCGTGGCGCGAAGGAGGGTCGAAGACCGCAGCGGCCTTGTCCTGCAAGCTAGCCGGAACATGGCACTGCCGGGGAGAGTCTGTCGGTATTAAGTATATCTTTATATCGTATTTGTACATCCAAGGAAAGGAGAGAGTAGTTCGATTGGTTACTCTCCGGATCAGCGTTAGTCCGGATCCGATCGAGTCTTGGCATTGTTGATAATCCAAAGATAAGAGAGATGATGTAGTGATATTCGCTCGAGCTAATCAGGTATATTCATGATGGGTTTTTAGATGGCCCCGAGAAGCAAGCAGGAGATATCATGAGGTGGATTGTAAGTATTGAGTATATAATTACCTGCACATATCCATCAGACAAGCGATTAGGCGATCGAGGAATATGCGAGGGTAACTCAATTCTGGTCGTCTGGATAAGGCTGGATAAGATTACCCGCACCTGTTGTGGGGGTGCTGTGATTGTACAAGAAGTAATGGATTTGGCTTCCGCAGTGTTTCCGGGAAGATATACTACTACTATTCTCAAGATCTTGTTTCATCAGTCAAGTTCCATACTGACACCTAATGAAGCCCTAAAAAACAGTAAAATCACGGATAGGGAGATACTGTAGTTCGATAGCAGCCATTCTTGCTCCCGCCATCCAATTCAACTAATCCATATTTCCTGTACTTAGTACCAGCACATCTGCATCCTAATCCCAGTCACTGTATGTTGTCCCCTGTCCACTCTCATAGCCCCATGGTGAGAACCACATCATTTCCATAATTTGGTGACGTATGTCGCTGTCGCATCTCATGCAGTCCAGTCCCACGTTGTTCGCAATGCACGTTAAAACCGCTGTCTGATAATTGTCAATGAATTGTGCATCAAGAACAAAAACATTATATTCCTGGAAAGCAGCACATGCAAATGCAAATGCAATCCATACTAACTAAAAATAGTCTACTCACATGAACCCATACCGCCAAGAAGAAACAAAGTGAGGCTGCTACCTTTGAATTAGGACAGCACCGCAAGAGTGAGTGGGTCCAGGTGAATCAATAACTATCCAGACCCGCTGTTCCAATCAACTGTGGAATGGAGTTCAGTAGTGGTAGTCCAAAGTGGATTCTCGTTGCGCCACGAGCATGTCCACGTAGATGGACACAACCTCCATGTCCAATGGCGCGACCGTAAATCCATTCGGATATTTTTTCGGAGCAATGAGGGCTCGCGATGAAGTGGCTAGTTTTGCGACCAGACCGCCCTTTTGGCCACGACACGCCCAAATCACCCACAACGCGTTCGCTCGCTGTCTCTTTGTTTTAATTCTTGCTGAACATGTGTTTCGGTCGGTGGTTAAGGGGTGAGAAAGAAAAAGAGAGTAGGAAGAGAAAGAGGGAGAGGGTGGTCAGTTAGTTGTTGATTAGTTGATGATACGGATGTGCCGCCATGATGCCATTCATTCCACTACTCTTCGTCCTGGCGAGTATAACTTTGTTTTTCTCGCGACGTCGCTATAAGACCATCGAGAGCGCTGAGCCGCCGGTTGTCGTGAAGGGTCATACCTACTCTGATAGTGTGGATGAGACCGAGCTTCAGCCGTTGGAGAGTAAGAAAGTTGAAGATGTTCGGAGTGCTTGTATCATTGGCGCTGGACATGTGGGTAAGCGCGCTGATATTGCCTGCCAGTCCAGTATCTCAAAAGAAGAATAGCTAATGTCGGCCAGGTGCATTGACTGCGGTTGTACTCGCTTCTCAGAATCCCCACATCCAGTTCAGTGTCGTTGACAATGATGCGGGTCTCATTGATGCGTGGAACTCCGATCGCCCCCCGGTGTTCGAGCCTGGGCTGGAGGAGATGTTGTTTGAGGAAATATCAAGTATCAGTCTAGATGCGTCGGCTGTCCCGAATCAGTCTATAGCTTCAGATAGTGGTCAGCCTCGAAAGAGGAAACTGACGAACTTGACGTTTTCCACAAACATCCACGCTGGCGTGGCCGCAGCAGATTTGATCTTTCTATGTTCGGAGATATCCTCAACTATAACAGTAAGATGCCCGCTTGCAAATGGAAGACAAGGCTAATCATTGGTATAGATTGACGAAAAGGAGCGCTTAGATCTGTCGCAATTGGAATCTGCAATCCGAGCGATCGCCCAAGTATCAGCTGGCCACAAGATTATCGTGCAAAAGAGCACAGCGCCATGTGGTGTCGTTCAGCGAATGAAGAAGATAGTGAGTGTCCTTCCCAAACAGCAACAAAACCCTAACGAACGCAGTTGCGAAAAACCGCATCTCCATCCGCTTCATTCGATGTGCTATCCAACCCCGACTTTCTAGTTCCAGGCACAGCCCTTCATGACCTCCTTTACCCTCCCCGCATTATCATCGGGCACATATTCTCAGAAGACATGTCCCCCGGAGCATTAAGCGCACTAAAGAAGCTATACATCCCTTGGGTTCCAGAAGAGCGCATTATCACAATGGACGCATGGTCTTCCGAACTGGGCAAGATAGCCGCGAATGCGTTCCTCGCCCAACAAATCAGCAGTCTTCACTCGCTCAGCGCTATCTGCGAATCCACCAACGCCAACATCAACCACATAACCCAGACCCTGGGGCTACCGCAACGGGTCGGCTTTGGATTCGGCAGCTCACACTTGCAGACCGAGGTTCTCTGCCTAGTATATCTGGCCCGAGAGCTAGGACTGCAGCAAGTGGCAGAGTACTGGCGCGCTGTCCTGCGCATGAACGATTCTCACAATCGACGGATCTCCCAACGCGTCCTGTCGCAGTTATCCGGCGATCTCACAGAGCAGAAGATTGCGATCCTGGGGTTCACCCCAAAGGAGAACAACAATCAGTATTCTGTGGCGCTGGGTCTGGTCCGGGACTTGTCGAGGAACGGGGTAAAAGTGGGAATTTATGACCCGTTTATACCCACAGGCCAGTTGGAGAACACGCTGCGTGCGAGCAATGCGTCTCTTGAGACGGTCACAGTGGCTGAATCAGTGGAGGCTGCGTGCGCGGGATGCAGTGCTGTCATTCTTCACACGGACTGGGAGACGTTCGGACATGAGAAGGTTCGATGGCAGGGCATTGCGAGCCAGATGCAGAGCCCGAAGGTGTTCTTGGATCCTTATGGTGTGTTTGATCAGTTCAAGATGCAGCAATGGGGATTCAAGATGTTGCAGGTGGGTGTGAGGCAGGTTGAAGCAAAGTGATGTTTGTGATGTCATTACAATTGTCTTTTTATGATTTGATTTGGTGTTTTAGCATATGGCGCAGATGGAGGTTAGTAGGTATAATGATTCTGTGGTTGAGCGATTGATGTTTTATTTTGTGATCTCTTTGATGGTTAGCGATTTAGATGTTTTTATTTAGCGCTCTCTGTTTTGGTTTTAGTGCTTCGAATCACTTCAACAGTCACTGTGTACAGCCTTGCGGGCATGTTTAACTATAATAAGTCTATATATGTTGGATGTCTTGGCCGGAAGGAAATACCCGGGCCATCAGAGTGATCTTCACATTCTTTAGGGGCACATCATTGCTGCAGTGGCTGAATGTTTTATACTCCTAATCCAGTCCCGTGTCCCACCTCTATGAAACCTTCAACTTCGGGATCTATTCGCAAGATGATGGTGTGTCATTCAAAGCCTTCTCCAATCGTGTCAACCCAAGCGTGAGCATGTCATCGGGATACGAAAATGTAATTCGGTACCATCCAGTCTGTCCACTCTCAGGGAGAAAGTTTTCTCCATTTCCGACATAAACACTATTGTTACGGCATACCTCCAGGAAGCACTCCGGGCTAGCAGTCGAATTAGGAAGGAGCCGGGCCCAAACAAAGAGTCCTGCATTTCTATTGAGTTGTGTCAGCGAGGGTAATTAGAAGAGCCTATGGAGGAAAGCAAGACCGACCCTTGATCATAATACTCGATGCTCTTATTCCGAAGCCAGTCAGTGACTGTACCGTAGGCCTTCCCAAGCTGCCGCTTATTTTCCTCGAGGAATTCATGCGTCTTGGTCGTGTCATTGAGGAGACGACCCCACATGTCTTGGACAAGGTAGGAGGGCCAGGAGAAAAGGCTAATGCATTGCTCATGTTAGACACAGCCTTGATTACAGGAAAGGGTGTACTTACTTCACACCGTAAGCAGCTTGAATCAAATCCTCATTACGAGAATGCAGAACACCCAGTCGAAGCCCACTTGCTCCAAAGTCCTTACTCATTCCATACAGGACATGGACGAGCCTAGGATCAATAATGTCATCCAGATCAAGGGAAAGAACCGAAGTAAAGTTGGGAGCGTTGCTCCCGGGGTTGCTGAAGACGGTGTTCGCGTAAATCTCGTCGGAGATAAAGTGGATTTTATGTTTACCGCAGAAGCGTGCGATGGCGATTAATGCGTCTTTAGACTAGACCAATGTAAGCAATCGAAGGTATATGATATTGTTGGACGCGGAGGGATCATGCTAACATAACAGCGTCCGAGTGGATTATGCGGGCTGTGAAATTCTCGTCAGTCATCCATTCCAAATCCAAGAAAGTTACTCCGTAGTAACATACTTCGCAATTACTACACCTCGAATCGTTGTCTTATTTGTTGATTCCGTATAATTCCTCCAAGTCCGTTCCAGGGAATCATTGATTGCTGTCGCATCGAATACCTTGTCGAAATTGTAGGTCTCATTATCCCACACAAAAGACGCAGGGAGCAGCTTGCCTTGGCTCCGCAGTCGCATATCTGTCGGAAAGCCGTTATATAAAGGTTGAGGAATGATGATCCCCTCATTATCGCTGCACGTGTTCCATGCGATCGAGTCAATCAAAGCAGTAACACCTGAAGCAATGATGATTTCACTTTCATTAACCTGCTGACGCGGATCGAAATAGGCATTGAAGAATTCTGCAACAGCTTTACGAAGAAAGGGAGAGCCAGCAGCTCCCTGACCGTAGGTTAAATGATAGAGCGGGTCGATGACGAACTGTTATTGCAATCAATTAACAAGTGAATCAGATAGGGAGAGAAAAGAAAAGAATTTTACACTTGTATTTAGAAAATCTTTGAGTGTGTCTTGCATCAGCCAGGTTTCGGCGAGACCTAAATTGATGCTTTAAAGCCTTAGAGATTGGTCTTCGTGTGTTGGAATAGATGACGTACATTCCGTCGTGAGATATTTTATCATATGGTTTGGAGAGAACATCCCTGCTAAGGTTTTTCCAACCCTGATTGTAGTAAATTGCATTCTCTGCCCGAGGCGACAAGTAGTCCGTCTGAAGGAACTGAGTGGCTCCAGTATGCGAGAAGCAGATGAGGAGAGTAAGAGACAGATTATATAGTGTCCACATTGTGGTAAGCACAGGAAAAGTAGAGGGGTTGTGCACAAATTCCTAACTCTTCGCCAGCATGTAGAGTACTTTGAGGCGACAGCACTATTATAAATACCAGCTATTTTGTGGATTAATCCTTTTGCAGGTCTGTTCGTTCGATAATAGTCAGTGTTACATTTCAAATCTGCATGCAACGTTAATATTTATTCGGCAGTTATACTACCCTATGTATCATCAGCATTCTATCCCTTTCTGAATCCGCGGACATTAAAACGAAACGATTTGCCGTCCGAATCTGTCCATTGATAGACTTTGATTACGCTCCTCCCGTCAATATGTCGCTTGACGCAGAACGTCCAGGACAGAGACTACTCGACAAGTGGGCTACTCAAACAATTCAGGCGTGCCCTCCTCTTTGAGAGCTCGTGTGGGAAGTACCATGGGAAGCCAAATAGGTGGTTAAGAAGGGCACGGTATGCGGGGATGAATTTGAAAACGTCAAGGCATGCAACCCGGATGCATAAGTAGGCCGAGCTTTGTGGTATTCCTAAATAGAACCCTGATGGTGCATGCTGTATGGCTGCCAATGCCGATGGTCCAGTCAGAATCTCTTTCAGATAGTTTCATGCGGTGATACATGCCGGGACAAACGATCCTGCCTCTAAGAGTTGCGGTTTACGATGTAGCCTTACAGGCTAATAAGGTTGTATGGGAAAATCAACACTGAGGAGGCAGACCCAGAGCATTCCGGAATATTTCGGTCGACTATTGCTGCTGTGCAAATATCGGATGGCCGCGGTCTTGGGTTGCACGGAGCTGCTGCCCCTTCTTCAATTAGAAGATAACTTAGGTACCGAGACTGACAAAGGGAGACCCCGTTTATATAATCCTTCGGTTTTATAATGCAGTTGCCGATATCTAGTCCAATCAAGAAGGTATATAATTACCATACAATTAAAGGTTGCGCGACAGCTTCGGGTATATTCCATCCATGCTTCTAGCACCTTTGATAGCTGCTACAAACCCCAGTGGCAATTTTGTTAGGGTCACCTACCTACCTGCGTCTTTAGTAGAGCCGACTGTACATTCCACTTAGCAAGGGGAAGTTACAATAGTTGCACAAGCATTCTAACCATTCTACTGCAAGCCGTAGAAGACCCGGCCCCATTCTTGAGAGAAAGACTCTGTTCAGAGTAGCATATTATCTATCTGCTATTTGTACCGCAACTGGCAAATACCAATTCCCTTGCAGCGAACATTGTTGCATCATATTTCTATATAATTGATACATTCCGCTCGCAGGATTTTTGCACATAATACTATAGACAACAGTATCTATACATACCCAACCTTGCTCAGCTTAAGGCTTTCTTCCTGTCCATCCACTTCATCTATTAATTGATCAAGTTACTTGAACAGTAAGTTAACACACTGCACACAGTATACTGGAGCTTATAGAGCGAAAATTAGCAATCCACCTCTTACACTTCTGGATCTAATTGTCAGCAGACCCGAGTTCATCCCAATTCACGAAACGAAGGGCATCAAAGCCGCAAATGCTATCACATTTTCCCTGTGTGTGAGCCACATCTGCGTGGAGAATCAATGCACCATCCGATATCTGGATAGGCCAGGGAGCACAGCCCTGCACCCGGGCTAGTTTCCAAAGTGAAGACACTGTCTATATCTCACAGCTTGCCTCTGATGAACATGTCTTTCTCTATGAAGACGACTACTGTAATGACATATACGATATAATTAATCCGCCAGGCCGTACTGTGGCACCTTCTGGAATAATTGGCTCTTTCGATGTGAAGATCAGTGGTGAAGGTGACGACTAGATTGGAGTAGGCCAGGTAGGTCCGGTAGGGAGGGAGGCAGGCAGGTCGGCTCTAGGTAGACAGGCCTAGGTGGTCAGGTAAGTAAGATCTATATAATTAGATCAAGTAGGTAGACAGGCAGGGCCAAGGTTAATTGGCTGCCAGTTCCAGGGTACGTAAAAGGCGGGGACTCTAGCCTGCATTGGCGAAAATCTTATATTACACAAGGGTTTTAAATGGTGACTCAGTAATGAACGGTCGTATACTACTTATCTTATGCTACTCATATCTCTGTCTATAGGTTAGCAGAGCGACTTGGCCCACAAGAAAAATGGGGGCCGGGCGATCTTTGAGGCTGTAGCTAAGTTACCGGCCAGCGGCAGTCAGCATCCTTTCTCCTTGGGATATCCTGTCAGATGAGGAGATCTGCTTTGCGTAAAGTGGGGCAGCCTTACATTCCATGCTATTTTGCTGGACGGCGAAGGTGGCGTGTTGGAAATAGTTGTTGGCTGAACAATTCTTAGTGCTGGCCGCTTCTACACAGCCCCAACGCACTTTATTTAAACCTCTCAAGTCATGTCTGGAACACTTATTCCCTTGAGCCTCCTAACTCCAACACCCTACTCTCAAGCCATCCCTCCCCATGGAAGGCCTCAATGAAGATTCACTTCCCCGACCGGAATATCCAGTCATCGATGAGCTAGTTCAAAACCCTACTGTCTCTCCCGCCGAGGCAGTCCAGAATCTCCTTCGCGTTCGCGAGGTCTTACATCAGGAGAGACAGGAATCCGAATCCCCGTCTGATATCGATGGTAATCATACGTGGTATGCCATGACCAGAGTTGTGGACACCGCAAACATCACTCCACCAGATCAGCAGGACAAACTCATCGACTTCATTTTCGAGCTACAACGTACCAAGGTCATTGATCCCGTCACGGGCGAAGAGCCAACCGCTGTTGATCTCAAGCTATGGACTGAGGTTCCATACCTGAGCATATATTTGACTGATTGCTATTATTTCAATTTCAAGCCTGGTATATCATCCCTACACCCCTTACTCATTTTGCTATTGATTCCGCGGCTAAATCTGTCAGAATATGCCAGGCAGGTAGATGAAGATCCCCAGAAGGAGTATCCTCCAAGTGACCTTCAGGAATGGGAGAACCGGAATGCATTCATGGCGCACCTTACGAGAAGAGTAGAATACCTCTGCCATATTTTAGACGCATCTTTGTATGCATTCTATTCATGTCGATCAGCGTTTGAGGAAGGGCCGTTGATAGAGGAGGCCGTACGAACGGCATGTATCTGGTATATATACGCCGGTCAGCGCGTATGGGAGAACTGTCAGGTTGGGCGGCTCTTCGGGGATGAGGACCAAACTCCGCGCCGAGATATGCACATGGATAGATGGCGCCTTTGGAAAGATGGACTGAAGACGGCACAATCGGAGTTTCTCAGGGAAAGTACGCAGGAGATGATACGGAAGGCGTTGGAAGAGGTTGAGAAAGCAGAACACGGAAAGTAAGAAACCAATCAATAAGAATCATGGTAGAGAATCCACGGAGACGCAAGATGATAGTGATGACGGCTCAAGCCCAAGCCGTCAGCCGGACGATGGGCAGCAGATGGTATTGTGCTGTATTTGTGCTATTGACTTCCATAGATATGGTATATGCTACTCTCGAGCTAACAGGAGTATTCTTGTTGCTAATATGTCCCGATAAATTGAAGAACATGCGTGCAGCCCTTTTTTTTTTTTTTTTTTTTTTTTTTGGAAATAGTCCATTAAGCAGTACCTTCGCTCTTCAAGAGCATACGCAGCCTTAATACATAGTATACAACATACATTCTGGAGACAAGACCTCAATCTATAAAACAATTCCACCACCCCCAAGAAAGGTCATCAACCATCCCCCTGCAAATTAACGCAGGCTAATCCCACTTTGTTTCCACGGCGCCCTTCGCTGTAGTCAGCTGCAAGGTACCAAACCCGGTGCCCAGTTATGGGCGGAGGCGGGATTCCCGTCCGTTCGGATACTCCTACGCGATCGTCTTGGGTAGATTTTTCTGGCACCAATAGTCTAGTGAAGTTGGCGGCTGCCAAGAGTCGATTGACGGAGTTGAGAGGAAAGCAAGAAGGAACCGATTATCAGGGTGAAACGAATCTCCCGCTATCAAAGCAGCGTCACCGGAAGCCTGCGTCCTCTATTGCCGTAGAGAGTTTGCCGTAGGTGTTGTCCTTGCCTGTGTTCTTATTGTCACTCCTCGCAGGCGTTCGCCGGTGCATTATAGACGTATAAGCAGGCTGGCACCCGCAGTTCGGCTCATCTCATGGAGCGGAAGGGAATTCGAAGAGGTTGGTCGAATCCGCACACTTCGAGCGATTTCGAACGCCTGACTTCCTCAAGATCCCTGTAATAGATTGGATAGACAGGGATGGAATGGAAGAAAGATACATATACGAAACGGAGATGCAGTCACTAATCAAGCTGCTCGGTGAACTCCTCCAACCCACCCACATCCTCCCAGAACTTGGAGAAATCGACATCGTTTTCTTCAAAGAGCTGCTTTACCTGAAGCATGGCGGACTGTTGCCTTTCCGGCGTGAATCCACCCGGCTGGGTACTCTCGTATTGAACCAACTCAACCCACCGGTAGAAAAGGTCTTCCTTGCCCATGGCTGTCAGTTTGTCCTTAAACACCAAGATCTGATCTCTTTGGGCAGATCGGGCCGGGTCGGCTGGGATGTTGATAGTATCAGGGTTATTCCTCTCGTTCTCATCTCCGACATGCCAGATCAACCAGCCATGGGCATCCGTGTTCACCAAAACTGCCGTGCGGAATTCTTCCAATGAGACCTTGTCATCCGATTTCGGCTTGTCGACCATCTCGTGAGCCTTAATCATGGCGTTGTAGTCAAGGTCGAAATCCTGATCTATAAGCAGGTATCCCGTCTTTCTGATACGCTCCGGCGTGACCGCCGCAACGATCTTGTCTCGTGTTTCCTCGTCTTCGCGGATCCAGCGATCACGTTTGAGGCCCTGGGTCATGTCAGGTTGGCTTCGCCGAACAATAATCTCGTATGGCTGGAAGCCGATATTGCGTCGCCATCTGACTGCCCCGAAGAGGAAGCGGATAGGCCAGGCCAGGAACATAGTAAACAGGAAGTAATCAAAAAGAACAGTTCCTATGCGACGCAGAGCCACCATGAAAACTTCGGCCCAGTCCATTGTCGTTGTGTCCACCGTCATAGAGTTGTTCATCCCGACCAGCGCTGCTATCATGGCGGGATACATGTTGCGGACCATGTAGACTCGGAAAGCGAGGAGACCGACAACGATGGCATTAATTGCACAAGGAACGATGAAGGTTTGTTTCTTGATGTCCACCGGGCAGGTATCGACGTGGACAAGGTAGACTTCGCGCGGAGAAAGCGAGTCGAGGAGCGGTTTCAGAGGTTCCGGTGCTCGAACGAACGGAGGGATAGGGCCATTTTGCGAGCTGGGAGTGGAAGTTCCCGACGAGGTAGCGGAGGGAGTAACTGAGGCCTTGCCCTTGGGGCCTCGCCTGGAGGATTTGGCCATCCTTATGCGGATACTCGGGGATGTAGAGTCTTTCGCTTTTCAAAGGTTGGAGACGTGAGGCAATTGATGGTTGTTAGGGAGAAAAGGGCGGAGGGAATGGGAGAAGATTTCTTCAATAGGTCCACATGAAGGAGTGGTCCACTGACCCGGAGGCTCAGTAGTCGCGGCCAAAAGTATGCCAATCAATACAAATGAATTGTAGGTCAAACGACCTCCGCGCGAGAGCTCAAATGACCCGACCCCTTTGCACGTGACTATGACGGCCATGAAGCTGGGATGATCCGATCGGACTATCCATTGTCCGTTCCGGCCCGCTTCTGCATTCCGCAGCTCCAGAGTCTCTTGTCTTGTCCGTACAACAACTAAGGAATAGCTCGGTGCTATCAACCTTGAAAGTCTTGATAAATATCCCACAATGTTAGGCGCAGCATCCCGGCGCGCTGTCGCCATTCCAAGGACCCTTGCACATCGCCATCATCAACATGCATTCTCATCCTCGTCATTCTCGACACGCACAATACCCTCCATCCTCCGTTCACGGCCGACCGGTGCTGCTCCTACATCTCTCCTACGAACCGTCCAAGCCACCACCATCCAGACTCGTCCCCTCTCCTTCGCGCAGAAGATGAAGCGCGGTTACCAGGAAGCCTCCCGTGGCATTTGGCGCAATAACCCCATTCTCCTTCCCCTCGCACTCCTCTCCGTCGCCACCGCAACCGCAATCTTTAGCTACATCGCCTACAAGGAAGCCACAGAAGTCGGCCCGCAATACCACAAGTTCCCGCCACCGGTTGCAGAACGTCTCCGTACGGCAATTTACTATACCGACGTGAAGCTGAATCCCGTCAAAGCTATCGACGCATACAGCGAGGCAATTAAGTTAGCAGCGGAACTGCAAATGCACCCTTACTCGGACGAAGTGATGGGAATCAGGTTGCAGGTAACCAAGTGTCTAGAGATGGCGGGGCTAGTGCCAGCTGCTATCCAAGTCTTGGAGAAGACACGAGCAGATGCATATCACTGGGTGAAGACGAATATGGAAACAGAGGCATTCAAAAGGGGGGAAAGCGATTATTTCTTTGCCCGCGGGCCCTCCACAGAGAAAGGCGAATTGGCCGCTGAGCCAATGAAGGTCGACCCCGCCATTGCAGAGTCATACGAGAAGATGAAGCAGGCGGAGATCTATGAGTATGAACAAGTAGAGAAGACTCTCGCCAAGGTTGTGGGTATGTCCGTAAAGCTCGCGGAACTATATAAGAGTGATTATGTCCAGGATGACAAAAAGGCCGAAGAGGCGCTCGAATTTGCCGTTCAACTATCCCTCGGCGAAGTGCAACGTCGACACCAAGCCAAGGTCCCCATCGGCGGTGGCAACTGGTTGACTCTAACGGAAATCGGAACCGCTCTATCCGAGTTGGGCCAACACTATGCCTCCAAGGGGAAGTTGGACCTTTCTTTGCCGTTGTATCTGCGCGCCTTTGACCTCATCAATGCCAATGAAGGCGGGGTTCCATCATGCAAACAGGTCACCCTCATGTACAACATCAGTGGCTGTATCGGCTACCCAGCTCTAGACGGTGTCGCACCATCGTCGGACCCTGGTGTTTCGCGTGCTGAGGCTATCGAGGCCGCACGCAAGTGGGCTCAGGGCGCGATTGAGAGGGCTGAGAAGGTCGAACCTTCCGAAGATTCTGCGGAGTGCGATCACAGCTGTGCGTCGGCTAAGGTTATGCTGGGACAGTTGGCAGTGTTCCATAATAAACCAGAGGAGGCACTGAAGTATTATTATGAGGCCAAGGATCTTTACAACCGCCTAGAACTTAGTTCTGATGCGGAGGATGTCTCAAGGCTTATTAAGGATCTCGAAAAGAAGAAGAAATGATTGAACTGATGGATGCAATTCAAATTAGGAGGATTGTGTTGACGGGGCTGATCAAGACCAAAATCCACCAGCATGCGGACGTAATGTCACTGCCTTCTTATTGGGGGTCGAAATGTGGCGTCGTCAACCACTATCCCAGCCTACGAGGCAACATATCAGTGAGTCAGCGTCTGAATGTAACCATTAAATTCATTGCGGACTTTTTGACCTGTTCAAGCCCGCTGAGTTAGGTGCAGGCGCTTCGTTGTCTTTAGGCAACGATATTGTGACGGGCTGTGATGGGATGACCTAGGGGCTACCCTACTTCCTTTCCTCTGGCATATCGGATCTGCCTGGCACACGTCTCGAGCTATTCGTCACCCCCCGTAACCTTCACTAGCGATGTATTCTACTAGCCCTAGCTCAAACCTGTACAGTAAATCTTGGCGGTGAAGCCATGTGATCACGTTCAGAATATACTCTCTTCTTCCCCAAGACCTCTCTGGTCCCTTTCATCGCAGCCCAGTGGTCCCTGAGTTGCCATCCATGGGTCATGCCCAATTGTAGCTTGAAGCCATAAGCCGGTACCTGCACGGAGTATTTATCTTACTTCGGGAGGGGAATGATCGGATCAAAGTAGGACCGGGGCCTCTGTTCCAGAACAATTTCCGATGTCTCGACTTTCCAAGCTCTCTTCCATGCTTAAGCAAGTCACTAGATATGGATGGATGAAGCACACCAAGCAGTTCAGCTGAAAATACTTAGCCGGGTATGCTCACGCCCATACGGGTTCGCGGTCGCAGGAGAAAATACCCTGATGATGGAGCCCCCAAACCAAAACCCAGTGGACCCAAGGGTGGGCGACCCATGATATCTCACCAGACAAAGCTCGAATCATCTCAGGCGCGAAGCCACAAACGAGCTCGTCTACTCGTCGTCAAACCCACCAAACCCCGGCAATCGATCCTGGAATCTCTCCCCGTCGAGTTGATTGAAAAGATCTTCCTATACTCTCTTAATGTGAACTTCGCTCGCTGTTCCTCAGCCCTAGGCGCAACCGTTTCGAGTGAGCGCATATACAGAGCGTTGATCCTGTTGGCGTTCTGGGATGACTCGTCTGCTACTACAGGAGTTAGAAGTCAGGTCTCAGAGGCCGCGATATCCAGAATCCTCCGACCAGTCGATTACCACCCTCTCAGCCATGCGGAGCGGAGACACCTCCAGGACACCATCCTTCGCTGCAAATGGTGCACAATACAGCGGCTTCTGGCGCAGCTGCCGGACCTTATGAACCTCACCATTCAACGACACTGGTTCGGTGCAGGAATCAGCATGGCCCCACATGATCAAGAATCATTGACCCGATTCCTCGCTCAGAAAGAAGACACTCGCGTCTTCGAAGGAACCGACAGTAACGGAGCCAATCACTACACCCTTACTGTAGCACCCCTAGTCTCAGTAACAATCACCCACCAAGAAACCAACCAAACAACTATCTACCCCGTCCTAGGCGTTCTTCTAATCCCCGATAAAGTCGTCGAAGATCTCTCTAGCCCTGATCACATCACCTACCTCGAACTCCTCCGCATAGCCAGCGGTTTGAACCGCGCCGACCTCGTCAAACCAACTGTCTCTGTGTCCCATGAATCCCTGCAAATCGGCATCCACAATGCCCTCATCGAAAACAACCCCGCCGCTTTATCCACCCTCCTCAAGATCGATGAATACCACTTCCGCAGCGAGAACCAATCCCTCAATCCAACTACTGCTGTTCCTTACGTCCTCCCCGCAGAACATTTCCGCACGGCTGTCCGGTTCGCCCGGCATGACACAACGTTCTTCCAGCTTCTCGTGCGCGCCAGTGCGGAGTCTGTTCCGGCCGATGATCCGGAGATTACAGAATGGGCTGTGGGCTTGAATGATGCATTTGGGCGCTGGCTGTTGATTTTGATGGAGCATTTGCCGCAGCAGATTCGGGCCGCACATGCGAACCCGGCGGAAGATGCTGTGTTTTACCTGGGCCGGGCGAACGGACAGAGAGAGCTGGCAAGACGGTACTTGAGAGAGGTGTTGGGCTTGGAAGAATTGGGATGTTGGATGGAGGAGACGATATTTGATGCATCAGCGTTGTGGAAGGTGGACGTCGACTGATCCTATTGCAAAAGCCTGCTTTGGTTGTGGGACTATATGCCCTGTCACGACGGGTCTTTTGACATGGTTTAGGTCGAATAGTTTCGGTAGAGGCCTGGCTCTTTGTCTGGGATGTATGTAGTATCATTGGAACTCGAGTGACAGTTCGCCAACGACGCTGAACACTAAGATTGAGCATATCAGTACACAACCGACCCCGTTAATGGCGGCATCATACACTTACGTGACCTCTTCCTCGCGGCTCCATCTTCCAGACTAGAAAAGTAATAAAAGTAATAAAGCCATTTTATTAACGTAGCTACTTTGCTAAAGACTTAAAACTCTATTCAACTGATATATGCAACATTCAAACATACGCAAGTAACAAAACATCAGACAATCAAACCCTCACCTCACCACCACCAACCAATTCCCCAACAACACCAACCAACTCATTCAAAACCTCGTCGACAACAGTCTCCTCTCCCTCCCAACCTACAACACCAACATGCATGACACCTTCCTTAACAAACGAAACAACCTTCATCGGGTCGGCCGCATCACCATCCGGGTTCAAAATATCAACCTTGCACTTGCCTCCCGCAAAAGGCATCTCATCGAAATCATCCCAGTCCTGGTGATGAACCACAGACCCAACACTCTTGTCCCAGTTCAGAGCATTGCCAATCTTGTCTAGACCCAGGAAATCATACTCGGCAGATTCCGCAGCCTGCGATTGCACGGCGCGCAGGAAGTCCATTGCCTGCCAGCTGGGTTGGATTTGGACCCGGGTGGGCGTGAGCTGGTAGCAGGAGCCGATGATAGAATCTGGGCTGGGGAGGGAAGAGAGGGTTCGGCCCGAGGTGACGGTCGCGAAGGTGATGTCCTGGGTTTGGAGACGGCGGGCGAGGAGGAGTGCCCAGGAGGAGGTGAGGAGGGTGGCGGTTGTGATTCCTTCGAGGTTGAAGGGGAAGGGAAGGGGGATGGGAGCGGTGTGGAAAATGGATCTTGAGCCTTGTTGTTGTTGAGTTGGAAGAACGGAGGGGGTAGACCCTTGGAGGAGGTTCTTCCAGTAGGTGAGGGCTTTGTTCTGAGGTGTTGGCGAGAGGGTGTGTGAGATGTAGGAGGAGAAGGGAGTCGGGGTGGGGATTTGGCCGGATGTGTAGAGGGTTTCGAGGTCGCGGAGGAGCAAGGGTAGAGAGACGCCGTCGTATTGGGCGTGAGACAGACCGAGGATGAGGCAGGATTGGTGGGTCTGGGTGTGTTCGATATGAAGGAATTGGGTGAAAGAGGAGCCGAGCTGGAAGGCGGTCTCGGAGTGTCTCTTACAGAGCGAGTTGACAGCGTCTTCGAGAGTGGAAGTGGTTTCGTGAATCGCGATGGGGGCTGTGATATCATCGAGAACAACTTGGAGGAAGCTGGAGCCGTGCTCGACGAAGACGGTGCGCAGGATGTCGTGTGCCTTGACGAGCTCGTGGCAGGCCCGGTGCAATTGTTCGCGGTTGATGTCCTGGTCGAAGTACAACATCGTATATTGGATGGAAGTGCGCGGTGCCTGAACAGTGCCGCGGACATCGAGTGCTTGGATATCGGTGACTGGGAGGACGTCGCGAATAGACCACTCAGGGTTTGCCAGCTTGGGACGGATCACCTCAGACAAGAAGGACTCCAGGTTGTCTTGCTGGCCAATAGTTGAGAAGGGATGGTAAGGCTGGACCTTCTCTTCCTTTGACACAACATCCACCCGCAGCGCCTTAGCAGCATCCCCGAGACGCATGCGCTGGAAGATGTCGGCCACAGTCAGACCGTGTCCTTGTGCACGCAGGCTGGATACAAGCTTCATGGCAAGAACAGAGTCACCGCCAAGGCGGAAGAAGTTGTCATCAACGTCGATTTGTTCGGGACTGAGCTTGAGGATGGTGGCCCAGGCGGACCGGAGGATGGCCTCGGAAGGTGTCAGGTTGGTCTGCGCAGCGGCCTTAGCCAATGCCTGCTTAGAGGCATCTCTCAGTTGAACGAGCATGTCGCGCGGAATACTGGAGGCGAGCTGGTTGAGGACGTTATGGTTGGGCACCCGGTCCACCACAATGTAGGCAAAGGGCGCCATGTAGGATGGGAGTGAGTCGTGGATGAACTTGTCGAGCTTCTTCAATGCCACGGCCAGGCTGACGGAGATCGAGGCACAGACGGTTGCCTCGAAGCTTTGGGAGTCTGCATCGCAGCGGATTTCCTGTTGTGTAGGCAGTAGCTCCAGACCATCTTGGATGGAAGCTGGCTGCTCGATGAAGACGACCAATTCGGGCTCCAGCTCAGACAATGGCTGGGACACGGCCGCAGCAGCACGAACAGTAGAAGGAAGGTTCTTGGTGAACTGGGCTTCGACCTCCGCAACATTCACAGCGTGTCCCTTTACCGACACGACATTCTCCTTTCGACCAACAAACACCAGACTACTATCCTCGCGCCACTGGACCAGGTCTCCGGTAGCCTGCACCCGTCCAGTACGGCCAGAGTACCCAGAACTACCCGACACGAGCCACGCAGGGGAGTCTACCGTCTCGCCAGCAAGAATGGCACCTTCCAGCCAGAGCTCACCAACGCAGCCAATGGGTGAGAGGAGGGACGGGTTGCGTGCATCACAAACCCAGGGAACCACAGCAGGAGGGTACTTAGACCCTTCCTTGATGCCCTCTTCAGCGCGAAGTCTCTTTGAAGACTCATTCAAGGACAGCGGGGCCATTTGGTTCCATTGCCAGATCTGATTCAATTCAGCCTCTGGGAGACAGGAGATCTCGTCAATTCTCCGGGTGAGACCTTGGCTCAGCTGCGAGCAAGCAACTTCGATCTGCGCAAGGATGCGCTCCATCTGCGAAATCTCGACGAGACTGCTG